ATTGACAAAAGCCAAGTGATTGCTGTGCAGTCAGGCGATTTTCTCAGGAGAAACCGCACAGATGTCAAAAAAACGATGTTAGATAACAGGGTCTTTTTGATATAGCTTCATAACATAGGAGTGACGTTGCAGTTTATGTGTGAAACGCCTGAATGCACAGCAAATACATGTTTTGACAGTATTCAGTATGATTCAGTAGCATAAAGTTGGAGCGTAAAATGGCCTTGCCATAACATGGGTCTATTGTGCGGCAGAATCAGTCCTTAAATATATCCCTTAAGTCTGTAAGCCGTAAAGTTGCAAATTTCCAAGGTGTTTTCTGACCGTCCCCGGGTGAATGGGCAGGGCGTGCGTTCCAATATGGAAATAGCGAAACGGAATCCAACACAATATTGAGAATTGTCACGATTGCGAAATACGAATCCGCATAACAAACTCGTTCATCGGCTCCTATTTATCATTCCTACATTCGATACAAATATTTATATGCATACATATTATAATTCCGTTCTAGTTCACAGTACCTAGAGCAAACCGAATGCAACAGTTTACATTGTATTACATTATGAATATGATATATTATGCACACTTTAGAAGCAAATAAGCAGTGCCTTTCAAAACATGGAAAAGGAAATAAAAAAATGAACGCAAGAAAATTTCAGCAATAGTAACTCAATGTCTTATGATTTCTTAGTTAAATTACAAATATTATTATACTATGTTTTAACTATTGTTCAGACGTATTTTCGTTTTATTATATTGGCCATGAAGGTGACAATCTTCATGGCATCGAGCTTTTACAGGAGATGGTTGCTATACTTTGGTGGAGGGGGTAGTGGAGTGTTTTGAATGAAATAATTGTTCACTTCTGAAAGAAAAGTCCGCAAAACAACATGTGTAATAAATAATAAATAAATATATCTGCATCACTCATATTTTGGTAACAAATCAATGATTGTAATAAAAACTGCAACAAATACATAATACATTAACAAAAAAACGTTTAAGGGGGTTGTTCGTTTTTTTTTACAAAAAATGCAAGATATTTGTTTTTGTTTTTCTCGATATGTATTTATCATAGAGACATGCGTTTCTTTTAAAACAAAAATTACAAAATCATAGAATATTACGAAATTTTCTTTTTTTTGCTGTCTTGCGGCCTTGCAAAATCGATCTCTTTTGCGGTGCCACAGATAAATCCGTTGAGCATCGCCTGAAACAAAAAAAAAGAAATTACGTTGAAGAAGAAGTTTGAATCCAGTCCCCCTACAAAAATGAAAGAAAATTTCAAGAAGGAAAAAAAATGGCAGCTTTTTAAAAAAAAGTGTCAAAAAGGCCTTTTTTTGGGGCGAGAAGCTTCGCAAAACTTATTTGCGTAATGTTATCAAGTTGTTTGAGGTAGGGGACTAGGTATTGCAGTGGTGAACAAATTTAAAAAAATGCAAGTCGATCCGACTTGTAGTTTTTTTTTAATTTGTGGCACCTCATTGAAAAAAGTCAATTTGAGAAAAACATATTTAAAGTTTTTAATATAATGTACTAAATACACCATTTAATTTAATGTACTAAATACTATACCATGGTGTTCAAAGATGCAGACACATTAAAAAGGTCATGTGCATGAGGTATTATAATGAAAAAGAGAGCAGCTGGCATACAATAGCTCGCGGAGCGATGAAAAAACGGTTTCAGAGGATCGTACATATATATATATATATATATATATATATATATATATATATATATATATATATAACTTCGTCAAAAAAAATAGATATTGAGATGTTTTTTTTTTAAATAATTCTAAGGTTTTTAGCTTTCGTAATATCAAAAAATCTCAAAATCGAAAAAAATAAAATAAAATCCGAACAACCCCCTTAATACAGTCCAACGCTACAAGGGTTAAATTATAACCCAACAACCTGAGTAAATCGAAGGAGAGTTTTAATAAAATTATATAACTATGTGAAGCACATACAACTATAATTTACATTAGGTCTTCGTAATTAACGTAATATCAAACATTATCTATTAATATTAAAAGTTATTGCCAATTACATGATATTTTATATTTTATCGCCAATCTATCTGATTAGTTACCTACAATCACGTCGGAAAGTGATTACGCCATAGTGTCCTAGTTCTTGAACTACTAATAGAAAGGATTATACAATTTTAAAATCGCTATGGGTCATGAACGTTGAAAAACTAGTTCTGTATAAAAAGAATTTTGAAAGGTTTTTCTTCTGATTAAGACTTTACCTGCCAGGTGACTCATTGCATAAATAAAAATCTTATAGATGTAGTAAAAGTATCATTGGTGATACGAATGTGGCCTATGGGATTAAAATTTGATTTCAGAATGAAAGGTAGATGTTTTTTCTAGTTGTGATCATATTTTTGATTATAATTTTGATATAATTAAAATTTGTAATTGTGACTTTTTATGTACAAACTTTCAAGTTAATCGACATCAGAACCTGTTATAGGATTCTTAAAACTATGATCGCTGTTCTAATGAACAAAATATATTTTTCTTAAAGCAACACAGATTAATTGATTTATGTATAAGGTTATTTTTCAACCTACTCTAATACAAATTCTTTTATATGATCCATGACGATTTTTTGTATTAATTGTTTGTAAATTATCTGGCCCTTTCTACTGATGATTTTATGAGCTCTGATACTTGGGCTTTTATTATGATTCATATAAAATAGTTACGACAAAATTAATTCCGAAAGAAACGGTGTCTCTGCATAAATTCCACTTTTTATGTAAAATAAATGATTATTGGAAGTGGTTCTTTAACTAATAATGACGCATATATAAATATTATGTAGACTTTACGATATATCACTCGCTAATGATTTAAGACTCATTATAGAAAATATATATAGGTAATTATCTTGAATTCTTTTCCGCTGAGTAACTTTTTATCGAAACTAGTGTCTGTATATTAATTTTAATTACTTTAATATGGTTTGTATAAATATCACTGAATGAAATCGACCAAGAAATCCTTTATGCAATTTACTTCTAAATCAATTCTTTGAGAATATTTAATCAATTTAAATGCCTTCCACAAGCCGTAATTTGAAAAACTGTTTTTGCACTTTAATTTATTAATTTTCCAGCTAATTGAATAAACACTTCTAAAATGAAACTACTTTATTTAAGTGGACTAAAAATATGGCACAATTATAATATACGACTTAGAACAATTAAGTAAAGTGGAATATTAATTTAATGTAATTGAATTTTCGTCCTGGTTATATGAAGTGTTAATATAATTATTCACATATTAACTAATCGTTTATAGAAATGAAATGCTATATTTTGTTATTGTAACATTTTACATATATATTACATATGAAGAAAAATGTAAGTAAAACTAATTATCATATTCTTGTGAAGACAATTCTGTGTTTTAATTAGTTACACAAACATATTTTCGAACTAAAAGCTTTTTTATACAAACAATTATTTAAATTTTATTTTTATAGGTTTTCTACTTTCTTTATTGTATTGCCCCCTAATTCCTTAATCATTTTATTAATTTTTATGCACTTTTTAATTATTTGAAAATTTTTTTTTAAACTGAAATTTAAAGCTAGATGTCGATCAACGTTTCCCACCTCGGACATCAACTGAAATTTAAAGCTAGATGTCGATCAACGTTTCCCACCTCGGACATCCTGATATCAAGCAGTAGTAATAGCTGTTTTCAAAATTAAATTGATATAGACAATGCACTAGTTTACAAAGCCAAAATTTATTTACGCAATTTTTTTTCCAAAGAGAAACTAGCTCTTTCTCGGCGTTAAAGAAATTTGTATATACCATGTATTTGGACAACCATTGGGTTACCATCTAAAAATCTACATTTGTTGAAGAATTTTTATGAGAGTAACTTATTTGAGAAATTTGGATAAAGTATTTCGAATATTGCGATATAGGTCAACCATTGGGTTGCCTTCTAAAAATATACATTTTTTGAAGAAGTTTCATCAGAGTAACTCATGGAACTTTTAAGATTTGATTGCTATTCAAAATAGTAAAATACTAGGTGTAAGTGGTATTTTGCCTTAAGGCAAGTTGCGAAGAAGAAGAACCTACATATCAGTAAGAATTTTTTTGTTAAAACTTTTTCAAATTGTCACTACAAAATTTTGAAATTTTAGCAAATTATTCCAAATTTTGATGTATTTTTGTGATTGAATCACTTTCTTTAGGCCTATAATCTTTTAGGATGTTTATGCTTATACTATTAACTCTATCATCATGCAAAGCTTTATCAAAATCGTTAAAAAAAAATTAAATAGTAACTAACCAAAAATTTTCAGTACAATTTTGAAATTTGTTTCAATTTTTGAAATTTCAAAATCGGTCCAGAATTTTTTGCAAGTATGTGGGCAAATAAATTTCGCTTTTTGTTGCTGATTTTAAAGAATCGTAGCGCAAAAATAATCGCCATAGCACTTATCTAATTTCATCAAATCATAGAAATCGGTTCAGTCGTTTTTTTGACTGACGTACATTTACCTATTTTGGTGTCAAAAAATCAGAATGACTTGAAACGTCGAGAAAACATAAAATTAGGAAAACTAATTGCCTTAGCCCTTATCTAATTTCATCAAATCATAGGAATCGCTTCAGTTCTTTAGCTCACATTTACCTTTGTTAGTGTCAAACGATTCAGAATGACTTGGAACGTCGAGAAAACATAAATTTAGCAAAAATGATTTTCTAATGAAAACAAACTTCTCTTTTGGGAAGAAAAAGGAAAATTTACTAAAAATTCTGCAGTCTCATCGTTTTGAATATTAATAGGACATCCAAAAATAGTGATTGATCTTATAATATAATATAACATTGATCTGATAATATTATAATTCTTATAATATAACATTGATCTGATAATATTTTTTGTATCTATATCTATATAATATAAAAAGATCTAATCACAAAAATATTTATGATATTTTCTTTTATTTTAGATGCATCGTTCGAAATTTCTCGGCTCGTCATCATCGATCACCATCACCATTTCACTGAAATCACTACTGATATAGCATCAACTTCTCTATTTGATCAACGATTATCATTAATTATTACTTTTCTAATTATATTTAATTTAAATATAACAACTCATTACCCACCGAATTAGAAGAAACCATACATCGCGTTTTTAACACACAAATACATATCTATCTCTCAAGTACTAACCGATCGACTGACTGATTAGTATAATCAAGAAAGAAAAATAAATAGCTTTAAAACCATAATTAATGAAGAGAAAACGAAAAATTAGAAACTCGACATTTATGCACCATTTAATGCTTTAATTTCTGCCGGAGGAATTTCAAGAAATTATTTTTTATCTATTTGTTCGTTTGATTCGAATTAAAATCGCGCCAAAGCAGAATGATGACTGAAATTAAAACACGTCCCAATCTGCCTAATTTGGTGGCTGATGTGCCCAATTTGGCGAATGGAATCATTGCTGATCCTAATACTAAGACGACCTACAGGATTGGGAAGTTTTTAGGAAAGGTAAGAAAATATATATGATAAATAATTACAATTTAAATGAAGATAAAGTTTTGAGTAAAATGCTATTGAATTCGGAAATTTTCTATTCAATTTTCTAATTTTTATCAAATTGATGTTAGAAGACTTATATTGTCACTAGAATTCTCTCCAAAAGAACCGTTTGATTTTTAAATAAATAAAGTGTTGTGTAGGGTAAAAAAAAATCGAAAATGAAAATCTTTACGTTTCAGAGGTTTCTGAACATTTTGACATACCTTAGGAGAAATGGATGTATGTGTGTTTGTATGTGTGTGTGTGTGCGGATACAAATTTTCATCGACGATTTCGGGAGTTCAACCGATTTCAATTATTCAAAAAATATTCGAATCCTATTGATAAGATGACGTGCTGATTAGTTTTTGGCAAAGGCAGGTCCAGCCGATACGGAGATAAAGAGCAAAGAGTGCAGAAAATATAAATCGAGTTTTTGGGAGAACGGAGCATCCGATTTGAATAATCTAAACATGACAAAAATTCGTGTGTATTAATTTTTTTATTAATTATTTTTTACTTTCAGGGTGGATTTGCTAGAGTGCACGAAGTGACAAACTTACATAATAACGTAACATATGCTGCCAAAATCATTCCTAAATCTAAGATGACTAGAAAATATCATATAGCTAAGGTAATAAAACTATGAATAGAATTAATAAAATTAAATGGTGGGTATTATGAAAATAAAATTTAATTTTATCTTATTTTTAGGTTGCCAGAGAAATCATGCTTCACAAGGATCTCATTCATGACAATGTCGTGAAATTAGAATTATTTTTCGAAGACGTAATAAACGCTTATATAATATTAGAAAACTGTCCGAATCAGGTAAAATAAATATTATATATTTATTTTATTCTAAATAAATTATTTTGCAATATAAATATAAATATAAGTATCAATTTGGCAAAATTAATATTGACCTCTCTTTGACAAACAAAATTTTATGTATATTGTTGATTTATTGAATTCGATATTTCATTCTTTAGCAATAAATAGAAAATTTGGGACATTTTTTTGGGAAATATGGGACATTTTCATTTTGGGAAAATATGGAACATTTTTCATTAGGAACACTTTTATACACTCCGATATAAAAGTTTTGAATAAAACGACTATGAATTCGATATTTCATTCTTTAGCAATAAATAGAAAATTCGGGACATTTTTTTGGTTTTTGTCAAATTATTGAAAAATTTCATATGAAACCACCTTTATTCAGATAGGGTGAAACTAGATAAAATTTACATTTCCTTGGGAACACTTTTATACACTCCTATATAAAAGTTTCGAATATTACTACTTTGAATTCGATATTTCATTCTTTAGCAATAAATAGAAAATTCTGGACATTTTTTTGGTTTTTGTCAAATAACTTAACAATTTCATATGGAACCACCCCTTTTCAGTTAGATAGTTTATAATTTATTGGATACATTGTTTTAAATTGCCAAACTAGTTAACTTCTATAACATTCAATATTAAATCGCTTTGTTTATTATTAGCAACAATATACAATAAGCTTTTTTTGAGATATTTGCAAGAAAATACGAAAATTCAGCCTAAAAACATTACCTCAATATCTTGTATCTCTATTTTTAATTCATAGTTTAGCATGGCTTAATAATTAATCTGAAATCTAGAAAACTTGGGGAAATTGTGTTATTATTTTTGTTTTGGTCTAGATATGTTATTTTTGGTTTCGGATCCAAATCTTAAACGAACAAAATTATTAAAAATTAACCAGAATAACCATAAAATATTCTCTCAGTTTCAGCAAAGCTTTAGGTTTTTAGGTTGCCCTTAAAAGCTCATAGTTTTCAAACATGGTAAAAAAAATCCTATTTTTTTTTAATCACTCTGGTTTGGCTTGGCATCCATTTCTAAGACACCCCGTATAAAATATATCGATTAATTTACAATTATTATTTTTTTATGTTTTTAGAGTTTAGTGCACCTGATGAAAAAGAAATCTTGTTTTTCAATACCTGAGACGAGGTACTATGTTAAACAGTTGATAGCCGGCACCAAATACATTCACAGCAATAATATCATACATAGGGATTTAAAACCGGGAAATATGTTTTTATCAGGTAAAAAAATAAACATCATAAAATGTATTCAAATATAAAAATATTGGCCTTTATTTGCAGAAAACATGGTAGTCAAAATTGGAGACTTTGGACTTGCTATGTCGCTAGATAAAATGTCCGAGCAATCGTAAGTTAATAAAAATGTGTTATAAGAATAATAATGGATGTCTTATAAAATGCAAATATTTTGTTTTCTATTATTTCCAGAGTTTTGTGCGGAACTCCGAATTACATTGCTCCAGAAGTTTTGAACAAATCCTCACAGTCGTTTCCGATTGACGTCTGGGCAATAGGTTGTACGATGTAAGAAATAATTTGTATTTACTAATTTATATTTGTGCATTTATTATAATTGAAAATCACAAAAGTTAATTAAACATTTTCAGATTGTGTAGAATATTTTTTCTGGTCATTTGAGCCAAAATATGGGCTTCAATTATCTTTTTGCCTTATTGTCATCTACCCTCAGCCTCACGAATACTTTATTTATGTTTTTGTCACATACATAATTAATAAAATAAAAATGGGTAATTGATAATATTAATGCTAATAATAATTTTTGTTTGTTTTTAGTTATTGTTTAATGTTTGGAATACCCCCATACGAATCTGCAACCTTGGAATTGACGTACGAAAGAATCAAATCTAATAGCTGGGATAAATCTAAAGTTGCATATCGTAAGTATATAATTTTTACGAAGTTTAATTATTCAAGAATATGTGTACTAGAGGATTTTTGCAAAATTTAAATTATTTTCGGATATATAGCAATTTGACCACGATAATCCTTTTATGACTTTTTTGGTGTGATACCCTCGATTTCTCAACATTTACTGGACCGATTTACATGATTTTTTTACATAGTATTCTCTATATTCTTATCATCAGTATGAATCGTTAAACAAAATAAAAAAACGCCATTTGGCGGTCGAAAATCAGATACTTTGTAATTTTATTCAACTGATCTGAGCAAAGAGTGTAGAAAATGTTAATCAAGTTTGTGAGAGAAAGGACTAACCGATTTGAATGGTTCAAAAAACATTCTGCTTGTATTGACGGAATGAAGAATTAAGAAAGTTCATGCGAAGGCAGGTCCAGTGATTTCGGAGATCCAGTAAAAAAAGGAAAAAAATGCCATTCGGCGGTCGAAAATCATATATTTTGTAATTAAACTGATCTGAATGGCTTTTAATCAACTTTCAAGAAATTTCAAAGTTTTCAAAATTGAAAAAAAAAATCAAAACATTTCTGTTTTCAAAAAATATCAGTATTTTCAAAGAAGACACTTTTTTTCAATATTCAAATTTTTCAAATATTTTCAAAATTTTCAAAAATGTTCAATAAAACTCAAAACTTACAAAAAAAATAATTTTTGTTTTTTGAGCTTTTAAAAATATTAAATTACAGTACGGGAAGTTCCAGCAATTTACCTTAAGGCATGATGCCATGCACCACTAATTCAATTACTGATTTTTGTAAAATATAATATTTATTCCAACTCTGTAGTTATTGCTCATTAGTGATTTTTTTAAATTTCAGATCCTGCTCTTCTTGATCTCTTAGATAGAGTTTTAGTTTTAGATCCAAACGAAAGACTGACTTTAGATGAAATAGAAAAACATATCTTTTTCGATGCTGTGTGAGTAAAAAATCTTAAACCAAAACTTTCCTAATTTTATATGTTCATTTATCTTACTGTATATTTATTTATCTTCTAGTAACAACGAACTGTTGCTGGAGCATATGCACTTGAATAATTCAATTGAAAACGATCAAGCAATTGTCAATACTCACAACAACAACATTAATATTAAAAATAATAATTATTCTAATGATAGCTATAATATTAAATTAATAAAAGATAACCTAAGTCATCGCAAAGAAGTCGAAGAAAGTGATAGAATTTTGATCTCAAAACGTAGAACTAGTACAATTAAATATTTGCCGCCGCAGCAAAATACGGATCAGCCTAAGAAAGTGTCGACTATTAAGAAGATTGTTCAGAATATTTTTAGGAAACGGAAAGATATTAAAAGTTTCGAAGAAAATAAGCACCTCGAGGATAATAATATGTTTTCTGGGAATGATCGGAGTGCATTGAACAATAGGCATAAAAAAGTTGCTGCGAAAAAACAAGATGATGGTGTACCAAGGGAGTTACAGCGACTTTGCCCAAAGACTATTAGTTTGAAAGATTATTGCAAGGCAAGCAATATTGGAACAAATTCCATGTTGTTGAAAGTACTTGAGGCCATTTGTGACGCTTATGCCTTTGACAAAGATTATAAAGGTGAGATAATTGTTTCATAGAACAAAATTTTTATATTTAAAATATATTTCATTTTCTGTTCTTTTGCTAAAATACAGGCAACACCATTCCACAAATTCCGGAATACAATTTAGTGTTCGTAGCGAAATGGATAGATTATTCGAATAAATATGGGTTTGGATATCAATTGACAAATAACTCGAATGGAGTTTTATTCAATGATAGCTCGACATTTATCATGAGAAGTAACTGCAGGTAAATAATTATAATAGTATCATTTTATTTGGCATTTGTCAAAATTAGAACTTTCATCGGAGTTTTCTCAAAAGCGCCTGAACCGATGTTAGAAATTTAAAAACCGTTCCATGTATCTCGATGAGGATTATCGTTTCTCAGTTTTGTGCGAAGATCGGCCGAGACGTTTTTTTGTAATTTGGAAAAAAGTGCTAAACTTTTCGTCTACTTTTAAGCTCATACTACCGAATCGATTTTAAAAAATCAAAATCTGTTTGAAAAATATTAGTTGGGAATGATACTGATTAGTTTTAGGTGGAAATCTATCGAGCCGTTTTCTTGAAATTAACTGTTAAAAAAAATTAAACCGATTTTTATGTAACTTTTTTTGGCGATATATATCATGGTCTTATAGAACTTACTGAAATATGACGGCCTTACGACAAGTAAAATTCATCAAAGTTTGAGAAAATGAGTAGTTTTTTTTGACGTTAGTTAAAATTAAAACTAGACGATTTACTTGGTCTTAATGAACATACTAAACCATTAAAGTCCTACGGAGACTGGTTCAATTATAAAAATTGTTGATTTTTGAAAATTTGCTTTAAGAAAATATTCCGACTTAACGTGCTCGTTCTTTTTCAATTATGTGTAATAAATTCACTCGAAATACTTTTAATCACTCATAAATTAATTTATTATTTATTGAGTAAGTCGATTATTTACACATATTGGGAAGTTCATGTAACATGCTCCAAGGCAAAATACCAATACCAACTAGTTATATTAGTACTAGGTTGATTTTTGTCTATTTGTGAGAATTATTGACTCTTTTAAAATGTAAAGAAATCTAAATCATATTGGTAAAGTTTTACTAAATAAGCAATATTCATTATCAATTATTAAGCAACTTACCACTATTTGAATTATGTAACTGTATATAATAACTGTACTGTATTTATAACTGTTATCTGTAATATTTTGATTATTTTTTGCAGCAATTTTCAATATTTGGATGCCCATCAGAAATCCCACACGTTTCAAGTAAATGATCTTCCGAAATCACTAGAACAAAAATATTTCTATTTGAAATATTTCAAAGACTACATGGACGAGAAATTATCTGATGGTGCTGCAGGTATAAAATCACATTACATTATATTAATAATTAAAAAAAAAAACCGTTTGTTTTGAATTGCTTATGTAATAAATATTGTAAAAAAATATTATGAGTTGGGCAAATAACAAAATTGTAAATTTAAACTTACTATTTGAACGACAAAGAAAACTTTATTTTAAAAAAAAAATATGTTTTCCACTTAAAATTATATATATATATATATATATATATTATCTATTAATAATTTAATATATTTCATATTAATATATTAAGTTTATGTTACAAATTGTTTTTAGTGCGTAATGAGAATGCCCTTTCATGTATGGATAATTATGAAAACCCTATAGTAAAACGATGGAATAGAACTGCTACCGAAATCTTGATGGAATTATCAGATGGTACTTTCCAGGTAAGTGAAAATCATATCATATTGTATTTAAATTGAATTTATAAATAAATTGGAATGGTATCATAAAATTGGAATACGGTAATATCTCGTTTATAATCTAAAAAATGGTGTTAAAATAAGATGGGTAGAAAATGGGCGATTTATTAAATTTAATAACCTTAATTTAAAATCAAACTAATATAATTGAATAATATCACTTTTTCCACAAATTTTCACACCTTCTTTTACATATTTTTAAATAATTCACAGCTGACGATGACTTCAGTCACCATCATTTCATACTTTTATGAAAAATTGGAGACGTTTTTATTAATTTTACCTCACGCACCTTTGGGTGCGGCCTTCGTACGATTTATATAATTTTTATTTTTTCTATTATAAAAATAGTAATCGCTATTTTAGGCAAATTTCGCCGAGGACCACACAAAAGTCGTGCTGAGTTTTCGCGACGCACTAATTCCTGTTCCCAAAAATCACTCTGTTCACGAATGGGCCAACGGAATAGTTGTCACATTTATAAATTCCAATAGAGAAATGTGTCATTATAAGGCGTCCAATTTGCTGCATTTTAGACCTGGAAAATTGCTGATTACGAGGCTGAAATATTTGCGATGCGCGATTGTGGATTTTGCTAAACTAGATTAAATTCTTATGAGGACACAGCTTATAAGGTCAGACCTTGGTAATTGACATAGGATTTATAAAAAAATGTCTGGTAATTGACACACGATTTGAAAAAAAAGGTCTATTATTTGACTTTTTTTTAAAAAATAGGCTGGTAATTGAGATACGATTTGTAAAAAAAAATTGTCTGGTGATTGACACCAGATTTATAAAAAAATATCTGGTAATTGAGATACGATTTAAAAAAAAATTGTCTGCTGATTAAAAATCAGCTTAACATTTTTTATTTGAGATTTTTTTTAAAAGTGCTACAATTACTTTTTTATATTTATTTTGAATATATTTCTATATTTTCCATTATTGACAAATGAGGATTTCTACTTGTTCTTTATTACAATTTTTTCACATTTGACCAAAAAACCTTCGAAGTTAAACAGAATTTGCAGTTCCTTATTTAAATCTCACATCAACATAATTTTTTTTTAGATTCAAATTTTTGATGAAAATTTTCTGTTTTGTGGCCATTTTCAGAAGACAATTTTATTGAAAAGATTGAAGGATCTTATATAATATATTATATATAAGTAATGATATAACAATGTAAGAAATTGTCTGCTAATAATGCACAAAGTGCAAAAATTTAAACAAAAAATTGAGAATGTTTTCAAATAGAGATTTATAAATTATATTAGTGTTACATTTTTATATCATTTTGGAATAATTTAGCTAATATTATTTTCCAATATTTTTACAAGTAGATTTCTGCTTATTCTTTGTTGGAATTTTTTACATATTCGAACAAAAAAGTCCTTTAAAATATGGAATTTCTTATTCACTTCAACATATTTTTTATTAGATTCAAATTTCTTCTGAGGATTTTTTGCTTTTGGTTCATTTGCACCAGACAATTCTTTCTTTATTTGAATTACAAATCAAATTTTCGAGAAAATTTTATTGAAAAGATAGAAAACAGTAATATAATCACAATGCAAGTAATTATCTGCTAAATGCAAAAAAATAAGATTTTAATTTGAAAATGTTTTCAAATAGAGCTGCAATTAATTCAATGAGGAATATGTACCTATTTGAAATAATTATTTTCCAAAATTCTCATTTTTTGCGATGCAGATTTGTATGATCATTAATTATTTAAAAATATTAATAAGTATATATAAAATCAGGTACCAATCATCATTTCATATTTATATTAAAATAATTGTTTCAGATACAAATTTTTCATAATAAAATTTTCTATTTTTTATTCATTTTTAGCAGACAATAATATTAGACTCACGATCAAATTTTTGAGACAATTTTATTGAAAAGATCAAATTAAATATAATACATATTAAAAATATTTTTCAAGACATCTTTATTACCAAGGTCTGATCTTCAGCAGGTCTAAAAGAATTTAATTCTAGTAAAATATAAAATATTATATTTCTAATTTTAGAAATATCGATGGCAATCTTTGAATTTTGCCAAATGCATATCATTATATTAATGATAAAATTATTCTACAAATTTACCTATTACTTACTTGCAAATAATGCAAAAAGTAAATGTATTTTTGTTAATTTATAAACAACTTAAAAACATATTTTGTCTAAAAGTTGTTTTGTTTAAACCTAGTTTTTTATATTGGTAAATTTGTAATCTCATGATGATTTTGTAAGATAAACTATTTTTGTGTTTAAATCATATAAATAGTTTTATATATGTTTAAATATGTTGTTTTTGAATAAATATGGAATTGTTTTTCTAATTCATTTATTAAGACTGATAAGAATTTTGATTTAGTAGAATACAATGTTTTATTTACTCAAAACATAATAGATTCAAATTAATCAGTCCTATATGATTTAAAATTTAGATTTGTAAGATTAAACATTATAGTCATTTTTTCAAATATTTTGAATAAATTGTGTAATTTTCTGGCATATTCAAAAATTAACTAAAACTTTATATTCACAACTTAGCAAAAATGTAATAAAATTTCTTCAAGTGTGATTTTATTATTACTATAAAGTATAAATTTACTTTTTGTATATGAAACTTATTAAAATGTTACGTTACTACTATGTAACAATTGCGTTGTAATTAGGTTGCAGTTACGTTGCAACTACGTTACGTTAATTACGTTATAATTATATTAATAGCTGAATACATAGTGATGATTAGATTAAGTAATTGTAATAGCTAATTAACTAGTTGCATGTTTGAAAAACATGAATGAAATTCATTAAACATTTTTTTGATACTCTGTTAATCGACATGTATTTATTATAGCTTATATTAGTCATTTTCATTGAATTTTAAGAATAGCCTTAAGATTTGTTCAGAATTGTAGCTCAGTCATTCGTAAATGATAACAGTTGTCTTTTTTAATAATTTAGATACTAAACAAAAGCTAAAAACATATCCCTAAATCGTACTAAACATTTAAGAAAATTGTTGTGTCATAAATAAAATTTAAATTTTATTAAATAAAATTCTTAATGCAATTGCATTATAATTTGTTACCTAAAATAAATTTTAATAGATGATATAGTGAATTAGCTTCTTGTCTTGAAACAAAGTAGAGCAATACAAAAACATTTTGTATTAAAATATTTACTTCGTATGTTTTGGAATTTTATTAGAATTTAGTTACATGTGAAATGAAATGTAAGGTGATATATTTACAAATCTCGATTAAGCGCAAATAAATAAATGTGTCGATATGAATTTAAATAAAATTATAAAAGTATATTTATATATATAGAAATATCAAAGTTTGTTATTGTTGATACAATATGATATATTAATTTGATTTATGATAGCATTATAGTTAAAGAAATGAATATGAGATGTGCGTACATTTTAGTTAATTCTTATAGTTTCCAATATTCTCATTTGTACCAATAAATTATTTTTATATCTCAAAATGTTCTTTATTTGTAAAAAAAATGTTACGTAATATAGAGTCCTCCACCTAGGATTTTTTTCATTTTTATTTCAATCCTTATTGAAAGAATGAAATTATACTTTCAAATAAAAAAAACTTTCATAGAAATTTTTCTAGCATTTTGAAAGAAAATCAAATTTTGAGGACTTTATTAGATTTTTTAATTTTCAATGCAATATTTTATCAACTAAAATATTGTAATATTTTGTCCACATGTTTAAAATTTAGATGGAAAAGTGGATATTCAAGTTCAAGATAATATTATGTTTTTAATGTTCTAATATATTAATTTTTAATACAATTTAATTTTTTCATGAAGCTTTTGTGACTACAATATAATAATAAAATATTATCAACTTGATACTTTCTTTGCTTTAAAATTTAGCTGGGAAAATAGATATCTATAACGATAGGTAAGTTAAATATATTTTGACTTTATTAAAAAATACAAAATATTAATGTGTAATACAATTTAATTATTTTAGGAGGTATTTTGGTTGGAAAAATATTATTTCATCATTTTTGTGTCCTAAAATTCAGATGGAAATTTGGATATCCAATTACATGGTAAGTTAACATATTTTGACCTTAATTTATAATATAATATTAATTTCGAAATAATAATTCTTAATAATATTTAATTATTTCAGAAAGTTTTCTGGCATGCGAAGGAATTTCTAGTGTAAAAATTACTTTCCCATTCGAGATAAGTGATACGTTTCAAAATGTGAGTTTTTTATTTTTTTATCATTTTTATGCAATATTAATTTTTATTATTTTTATGCAATATTATTTTTTAAATATTGACTCTGTTTTATTTATGAAGTCAACAAGGAACAGAAATAGTAAAAAAATATAAATTTTATTTTCTCGAAGAAGTTTTTTAAACAAAAATCTAATTTGTTACAAATTTCATGTTTTCTGTACGTTTAAAGTTATTCTAAATCGTTTAACACCAAATTTAACACGTTAATCGCCATTGAAGAAGTTCTACATGAGACGTGTCAGACATATATGCCTGACATATGCAATTTGTTATAATTTAGAAGAAGAAAAAAGTGTTATAATAAATTATATATCGAGTATCTTTGATAGATTTGTAACTAAATTATCTATTAAAATTATCAAGGCCCATGTGAAAATTTTTCTGATATTATTGTGACGATTAACGTGTTAAAAAAGATATGTATGTATATAACTGTGTAAGCCAAAATTTTACTTTTTTCAAAAACGGCTGAAACGATTTTGAAAATTTCTCAAACACCTGAAATAACATACTAAAAAATATTGTAGGCATACGACAAACGTAGGATTTATAAAAAATAATAGTCATTATTTCAATGGGCGCTTACTGATTCTAAATAGACTTGTCTTAAAGCAAAAAGCCACTTACAACTAGTTTTGATTCTCGTTTCTTATTAAACTTTATGAGTATTATTCAGAATCCTCGAACTATTTGCGTAAGGAAGCTAATAATAAAATGAATTGCTTCTATTTTAATTAAACGCAGAAAAAAATGAATTTTGATTGCACAATCTCATTATTTGATCTAAAAATCTGCATGCGATATTATTCAGCGATTTTAAGCCGAAGCGATTTATTAATGTTTATATTCGAATTAACATATAATATCTTGCACGATATCTATATGCAACTTGTCATTTCATTCATTATCAAGTTGAGTAAATATGCGTTCCTAGTAAAAATAAAATTATGATTATATTATACTCCTAGTAGAAATGAAACTATTTATTACATGATTTATAAATTTTCGAAAAAATAAATAGTTAGACAAACATAACGAAATATCATTATATGATCTATAATAATATAAACAATATCATTTCTGAGACATTTCAGAAGCCACAGATTTTTTTGTAATATTAAAGAAATTGAGTCAGTCGAGTATAAAATGCGATATATATTTGTACTCAACAGAATAACAATTGTTATTAGGTAAAAAAAACTATATTTCATGTTTTATCCTAAAGTCTCTAGATAATTATATGGTGCTTACATAAAAGATGTACTAGAAATACTTTATAGATTTTTTGAAAAGCTATATATAAATTATTAAGGTTCATAATTTATATACAAGATTTTCAACGACGTTAACGTAAAGAACTGTCAATACCAATGAATTTTTAATAAGGGCTCATTTTCATAATTATTGTTAGTATCCTATAATTGATGTATAAATTTAAGATGAGAGTTCAGAAATAAAAAGATTCTAAAATTAGTTTAGAAATTCAGAAATAAATAGGCAATTGTTAAATTTAATACAAAAGTACTTCTGGGATTATAAGAAATCAAACAATGTAATTAAAAACTCCTACACTTATATAAAAAAAAAAAGTTTTATTTTTTTCTTAATAAAACATTACTGAATTGCCATAATTTACATGGTCGATTTGAAATTTCTTTTTTTGGACACAAATAAAAAACATATTTATGCTTTTTTAGTTGAGGATTATTCAAATTACAGTCATTACCGTTATAATTATAAGCTGTCATTTTAGAAAAGAAATTTGCAATTAAGTATATATTTATTTGCATACTGTAAATAATAAAATTAACTTGGTGTAATTTGCCTAAGTAAGTGGTATTTTGCCTAAACTTTCCCATGTGTAATTAATTGACTTTATCAATAATAAGGGCCTTAACTCTACATATTTTGATTTTTCTTAAGGGTATAATAATCATGTTATAAATTATTGTTGAGACCTTACTCGCAGAGTGACAATTAAATCTAATCGTAATTCAATTCATATATTCCACTATATGATAATGATAACGAAGTGCTTATTTATAAGTAGTTTTTCTATAGAAAAAATATCACTGCTAATATTAGAACGTTAGAATATTTTGAAAACAGTGATTCTCAACAATGAAACACCACAAACACCATATATTTTACATTCTTAAAGTTTTAGCTGGAATAAGCTGTACCAGTAGGATGAAATAATGTTCAAAATTTGCATTAAAATTATAAATGCTATTATAAATTTAAATATCTGGGGATAAGGATATGAGATGTTATTAATTTTTCCCTTAGTCATTGTGCTGAATATTATAAATAATACTTGTTATGTAGGAAAATTTTGTTTTTACCAGAAAATCTGGTTTCAATAATTTGTTTTCACGATATTTCAAGTATTCTAGAAAGCTGAACTCTCAACATGAACTCACCTATTAAAATAATAAAATCACGCGTTCCTCAAGGCAATGTTCTCGGCCCAATTTTGTTTTTAATTTTTACAGCTGACATTCCCACCTCATTTGCTGATGATATCTGCATTCTTTCAAAACATGAAAATCCCACAACTGCTTCAGAGAAACTTCAACGTCACTAAACATCATTAGAAACATGGTACAAACTGTGGAGGCTAGAGTAAGCTGGAAGAAGTTCCACAATATAATATTTGACTAATTTTTCCTATTGTATTGTGGATTTAGTGAAATTGATGCAGATTTTCAAAACTAATTAGTTCACGAAAACTGACGTGTTTATCTTAAGCTTAAAATTCAAAGAATGTTTCACTATGTCCTGGGACAGCCTGATATCAAGAAGAAATGACATCGGTTTTTGCCTGAACATTTGGACAGAGGGGCGTTTATCAATCATGTGATGCTTTATGGGGGAGGAAGGTTAACAAAAAAAAAGAGTGCGCGTAAGGATCACACGCGATTGAAGTAAAACTTTTAATATTGTATGAGTAGACAATTAAGATAAAAATAAAAAACATCATATTTGAATTTTAAAAATCATTTATTAATAATCACATAACATCAATAACACAGTTTAAAACAACAACGATAGATTAATTGCTATCATATTTCATATATGATATAATAGGTTTGTGATAACTAAAATGAGAGACATAAATTTTGCTTTGTAAACTATGTACATTTCTGGAGAAAACTGCATCAATAGTCGAGCCATATCTTGTGGTTGAATCAAATGGAGAATTATTCATCGTTAAATTAAATTTATTATTTAAAAAATCAATTAATGGTTGAGATTCTTCTGAACGAAAATTGACATTGAAATCTCCAGCAAGAATTAATGGTATCTCGTTGTGATTAGTGTTTAAAAGTTTTGCACCCTTATTAGAAAAATGAAGTAACTGCTGATGTTCAATTCAATAATATTTGATATGTTTTTATTGGGAGAAATTTAAAGGACGACTATAATCAATGTTTGATTCTGTGTGTTCATACAGCGGACAACTGCAATATCACCTACTTATGTAATTTCATTAGGAATATCCAGTAATATTTTTGGCGCAAGAAACTGCATAGGAGTCGCATTATGAAGAGTATCTGAACATGAATGATAGACATTAGACAGCTACACCACCTGCTCTTGAGTTTGATCGTTTGTATTGAGTAACGCAGTAATAGTTCTGAATATTAATTCGTTCTTCATTATTAATCCAAGTTTCCGAAAATAACAAAAACGTACAACGTTGTAGCAGTTTATCTTGCAGATCAGGCAAATGAGCTCGTAAACTTTGGCAGTTAAAGGAAAGCAATGAAATGCCGTTCAAACTTATTATCTCACTCAATTTTTCTTCTTGTGTTATTAATCTACAAGTTGAAAGTCTTTGGAATTCAGTTTTTAAGTCCATTAATCCTGCTGGCCGTTTTCTTCCATAATAAAATTTTTTGTCGTTGTTTTAGAAATGATGAACAATCCATTAATGTTGGTAACTCGTGATAATGCAACATATAGAAGCTGCTGATTATGTGTTTTATTGTATTCATATACAATTTTATCAAAAGTACCACCTTGTGATTTGTGTATTGTGAGTGCACAAGCAGACACTAAAGGAAAATGATTTCTTTTGACAAATATGATTTTATTTCTATTCATTGGAATAGATGAAGATTTCCTGAGAATCGGCACAGCTGTCCTACTGATATTAAGAGTTTGAATATGATGTGCAGCTTTCTTCTTATTTTGTTACCTATCTTACCAGGAAATTCAAACCATAAACGTAGAAGTTCATCATTATCGCCACGTTCTATGTACACTAATTTTCCTACACAACCATTAGCTAAGCCATCACTTACATCAATATTAGTTGTTATTATGTAAAATTTATTCAGAACTAAAATTATTTCATACGGCAAACCCCCGGTATCAATAACCGATTTTTGTGAAACTGTTGACGAATGTATGATTGTTGATATGTCGCATGGCAACCTACACAAATATCCGTGGCAGTAGATATTATTTTGTCTTCAACGAGATTCAGTATAAATTTATTATATTCCATGATACATTTATTCTCTAAGAAAAGTCTTATTCCATGAGGACATAATACAGCAACCTCTTCTTTTGTAAAAAAACGTGATTCAATTAATGCAAGTTCATATAGGGTTCAGCGCTCGACTTACGCATGACATGACGGGAGTGAATACTCGCGACATCAGCGCTTACGGCGTCGTAGTGTTCAACTTCACGTTGGCATTTTCGTTGCATTTGTACGGATTTACACCCGTGTAGCCTAAAGAAATTTTTACACCCATATCGCGCCTAAAGAAGTTTTACTTCAAAAATCACGAAATACGATATCACGTGCATTAATCTGTTACCCGGATTTAAAAACTCAAATTTAAAAATTTGCTCCAATGCAGGGTTAAGTTGTTATAGAGGGTGGTTTTCAAAATTAAGTTCTATTAAAAATCAAACTTTGTTGTGTTAATAAATAATTAAAATGTTGAGAAACTGCATCGCATTAATATTGCACTTGAACTGCACTGTTTTAATGAAGTTCCCTTCGACAAATGGAGTTCCCATAATATCATTCTGTCAGCGCACGTCAAACCGTGCAGAGCGCTGAATTAATTTAATAAAAAACCACAAACCACATGAAATATATATTTAATTTGCTAAATTATGCTTAATTTGTGATTATAAAAAATCGAAAACAAAATTAAAAACATTATATAAAAAATAATCAAAACATTAGATTATAAGAAGTATTGTATCAACTAATGATTTTGTGTGAGTGATCAATAAAAAGTGAAAATGAATAATTTGGCTTTTGAATATGATCGGGATGGTGACCTGGAAAATGGTAAATTAGTTTTGGGATAATTATTTAGAAAAAATAGACTTCATAAATTTTCAATTGTGAGGTTTTTGTGTTAATATTATTTTTTAAGTAATTGTTTCTTCGAACTTTGTGTTAAAGAATTAAATTTATTAATTAATACCAATGATTTGGTTGGTTTGGTAAGGGTATTGTAATGCTATGGATCGATTTTAATCAGTTTTAAAATTTAAAATATATTAATTATAATCATTTTTATTTAGCTGGTTTATCAAGGGTTTGATTTATCCTTTGGATCAATTTCAACAAATTTTTAAATTGATACATTAATTTATAACGTTATTATTTAGTTAGTCTTTCAATGTGGAATTACTTATCCTTATGGATCAATTTTAACCACAAGAACTGAAATATTTCAACTCTTCATATTTGATTCCAATAAAATTTTTATAATTTAGTACAATATGGTAATAAAAATTATCAACAATTTTAACAATGTAATTTATTTTTTTAGTTTATGTTTAAATTTTTAGTATTTTATTTATTATTTCTGTTTATATCCTCAAGTATTTTGATATATGTAGTAACTAGGTGTAAGTGGAATTTTGGATTAAGGCAGCTGCATGAAGTTATTAATTGATAAAAATTTATATTTAGCTATTTGAATAAAATTTTTACCTATTTTATTTAAAATTGATGTTTTTCAAATACTTTTCATATCTATAATTGTATTAGATATATTCAGTTTATTTATACTAAATGTATGTATATCCCATTGGGTTTATTTATGCCCTAAGAAAGACTGATTATTCCAAACTTTAATGAATTTTTATATTAAACCAATTAAAAGTATTTAATTTTTTTTTCTAAACTAATAATAAAAATACAGTTTATCTTTTTTCCAGAATTTCAAAAACCGAATAAAATTCATACCTTTAGACCTGAATATCTTTTTAAGTACAGTGATATTTTATATTTATTATAGTAAACTGATTCACAAATAATTGTCTAAATATATTAACAAATAAATTTTCTATTTTAGGAAAGAGGAAGGACATTGAAGTTACTCAATCAGCTACTTTTGAGGAGGCTGTTGCAGTTGCAGGTAAAAACTATTTTTTATTCTAAAGTCTATTTTTTTCAAATTTATACAAGAAAATATTTTGACCACATTATTAAATAATTATATAAATGAAAAAAAAAACTAAAAAACATCGATTAAAAGCATTTCTCGATGTCGCATCGTACCCCCATATATAGAGTCTATTATCTATTTTCTGAATTTTTAGAAAATGCTTTTCAAAATTATACATTTTGTATATTTTATAATACACATAATTTAATCCCTCGATAGTCATAATTCTATTATCATGCAACACGTGTCTTTATATATCAATCTATATAGATGATATGTAAATCAAGTATTATACATACAAATATCAATATACGTACTAAAATAAAATATTTTTAAACTAATCACTGGATTGATAAAAATAAAGTTAGAATTAGTATTCATCATGCAATGTTATTGAAAACAATTCTTCAAATTTGATTAATTAATTTTACTAAAATTGTTAAGATTAATTTTAATGAATACAGTGAATCAAATAAATTCAATTAGATTTAACTAAAATTTATGCACATTAATGAATTATTTATATTTCTTACATTGTTAGTTGTGTTATGGTACTTTTCTTTATATGTTAATTGAGAAATACGCATACGTCTTTTTACTTCTTCACTTTTTACGGAAAATATTTTAAGAATATATTATTGGTTATAACTTTTAGTATTTTTAAAATTGTATAAACGTGTAAATAGTTTTTTTAGAATCTGTCAACCGTTTTGTGTGAAAATTTATTTTAGATTTTATTTTATTCTGTACCAAATGGTGAACTAACAAAGGTGCAGAGTTAATTTATCTAAGATTAATCTGTTAAAGACTAAATCAAAGAGATCATAATATTAGGATTTGAGTTTTCTTTGGAAAAGAACGTGGGCTAACAATCCCTAGTCGCGACCAATAACCTCGACTAACCTTGTATCAAGCAGCATGACACCAGAATTTTTCTCGATATTATGTAGATCTCAAGGAAAAATTGTTCTGAATAGCTCTGAATCAAACCAAAAAACAGAAAATATTTTTTCATATTTTATTTTGATTAAACTTCCGATAATTCTGTAAAATAATTGATTTTTTTTTAGGTACAGGCAAATTCCACATCTTCATACTATTTACTACCGGTTTTTGCATGGCTGGTGTCATCACAGAATCCTTAGGAATGAGTTTTGTTTTACCATCAGCCGATTGTGATTTAAATATGACTCTAAATGAAAAAGGACTTTTGTCAGCTAGTGCATTTTTAGGTAAGATAAAATACATAGCCAAAACAAATAATAATAATAATTAATATCCAAAGTATTGTAAATTGTTGAGTCTGGATCTGAAGAGCCAATTGTGCCAACGAATTTTTTTACTAATACTTTTTTTCATTAAAGTTTTATATATGATCAAAGTAGGATTCTGATAAATCTTCCCATAATTTTGATCAATTACATGATTTTCTCTAAAAAAAATCAGCACTTGCAATCTGTGTCTTAAAATTTACACTTAGCCATTTTTTCTTTATAACAATGCTCTAACTAGGATTTTTTTATATAACTTCTTAATTAATTGATTAATTACATTATTTTCTCTAATAGATTATAACAATAATAAAATAAAATTTTGAATCTGCATCTTATGCCAACAAATTTACTACTAAATTCTTTCCCTATTAAAATTTTATATAAGCTCAAACTAAAATTTGATAAATCTTATCTTATCAATTAATTTTCTGTAATAGTGTGTATTAAAAAAATGGCTTACTTGTACTTATTTAGACCATTTTAGCACTATATAAATAAGTAAGTGGTTGAACAAAAAAAATTTTTTTTCTTTCTTTTCTTTTTTTCTTCAATATTATGAAACAAAATGATGAAAAATTTCCATAAGGGGGAAAATATTTAATTTGAATATAAAAGATATGAAATTTATTTATTCATTAGTAATCATGAAAAAATATATATTCAACTGCTATAATTGCAATTTATTTAAACACTCATATCTCGGCTTAAATTTAAATCAATTTCAACTATTTGCACATGTTCATGATGAGCAAGTAAGTTCTATTTGATAAGAAAATGAAATTGCACTTGAACTTCTTATTTCTATTCATGTGATAATAGTTTTCACCATAAGAGTCAGTTAAAATTCGAAAGAAAAATCTGTTTGAAAGATTAAATTACTATTTTATTCTCATTTTTGGCACACAAATTATTTATCCAATTTTGATTTTTGTCCAACTAAGTCATCGGCTTTTAATAAACATATAATGTACATCTGCAATTTTTTAAAACAATTTGCAATTGTGAAAAAAATTAAATTGACAATTTTTTTGGGCGAAAATAGAAAGGTATAGAAATTAGAGTAACATTTTTCGTAAAGAGCTTTGAATTCGGATAACTTTATCAAGACTAGTGGTGTATGGCATTCTGCCTTAAGGCAAATTGCTGGAACTGCCTGTATCGTAACGAAATGTTCGAGAAATATTAAATGTAACAATGTCTAATATTTATAAAAGTTATATAAACTGAATTACAAATTAAAAATTATTTATTTAAAATATATAAGTGAGCCCTAGAACTTTAGCCAGAATTAAAAAAAATTGGAAAAAAAATTAGGATTTTTTTTAATATTATGAGGCGTTGGAACTATTTTCAATTTACTGTTTTGAATTTAATAATCTAATAATATATGAGTCGTTATAACTAGAAGTTTCAATTGTTTTTATCCTGTTTGTGAAATTTTCCATGCACATTTATTTAAAATATCTTAATGGAGATAATATATGTATATTATACTCAATATTGAAAACAAACAATTGATATATGATATATTCTGAAGTGCATTATGTGACTCTTTAATCGAGATCAATTAATTTGATGTTCATCACTTAATATTTCAAGGGACTTACGTCACCAAATTAATCATAGTAATAATAATCAATTAATTATAGGTTACATTTGGTAAAAACTAAATAAAATGGATTCAAACTAATGGTTTATAGCATCCTGCCTTAAGGCAAATTGCTGGAACTTCCCGTGTCTTAATGAAATATTCGAGGAATATTAAATGTTTTTAAATTACATAATTTAACTTTTATTATTCTCATTTAATAAAAAGTAAATAAAGAAAACTTAATCAATGCATTTGAAATGAAGAACATTGTTTAACATTTCTAATAATAAGTATCATATAAACTGAATGGCAAAGTTAAAATTATTTTTTTGAAGTATATAAGTGATATATAAAACTTTAGCTGGAATTAGAATAAAAATCCGAGTTATTTTTCGATATTTAAAAAATATTTTTTTTGAAAATTAAAAAATCTTCAAAAGCAACCCGAAACACAAACAGAAAGTTTTTTAAATCATTCAAATCGGATGCTTAGTTTACTAAAAAAACTGCCATTTTTGCATATTTTGCTCTGTATCTTCGAAATGGCTGGACCTGTGTTTGCCAAAATCTAAAGTACAAGATATTATAATTATATAATCTTTCTAATATGTTCCTATATTAGTCGTAGTTCACTTTTATCAATGGAGCATAATAAATTACATCTAATTTTATATTATAAATCACATTTGCGTTTGCAGTAATTAAATATTTGCAAACAGTAATTCTTGTGATGATATCGGAATTGTTTACCAGTTTGCTTCTAATTTGATAACTATGCAAATTTATGCACTTGTTATTATGCAAGGAAACAAAAAATGACGTCCAAATAATTGACTTCTTTATTGTTCGAAAATATCTGTAATCTCTAATTACATTTTTCCAATTTAGAAAACTGGAAACAAATTATTCAAATTGTAACGGAATAACAAGTTGTAGTGATAAAAATGGAAATGGGAAATGAAATTTTTGGAAAAACACTGAAGACCAAAAGAAATTAACTAAAGCCAAAAAATTTCTTCAGTCATTTACTATCCTTTAGATTTATCTCAAATTATTACCTTTTCCAGGTCTGGTCCTAAGTGCCCATATGTGGGGCTTTTTAGCTGATACCAGAGGCAGAAAATTTGTCATGAGGTTGTCTCTGAGTATTGCCCTGGTTTGTTCCTGGATATCATCACTTTCTCACCAGGCTTGGCTGCTGACTTTGATGAGATTCTTGACTGGATTTTTGTAAGTAATTTGAAAAAAATACTAACAAGGAAACCTTCAGGTTTACTTTTGTGGGATTTTGATGAAACTTTGCATGGTGATAGAGTAGATAGTCAAAAGGAATGGTTTAAAATATTATAGGCCTACGAGAAGTGATAAAAATTAGAAAAATTAATTAAAGTTGCGAATGAAAATTATAATGGGGGTGTTTTATGACGAGGGTGTAAAATAATATTTATAATTATTTATGTCGTCTTATGAATAAAAAATTAACCTACGTGAATGAAATATTTGAAATTTTGTAACTGTGTTAATTAGTAATTAAAAATTCTGTTAAAACAATTTATAATTAAATTTTTAATAATTTTCAATATTTAAAGGAGCAATATTATAATTATAAAGTAATAAATGAAATAAATAAATAAATAAGATATAAATTAATTATAACTAATAAGTATAATACCTAAACATGCAAATTTATTAATACTAAAATATGAAAAGAATGTAAATTTCGATGAAAATGTTTTTTTTTCGATGTTTTCATACTTTGTTTATGATGAAATTTGTTTTTACGAATATTATATAAATTTACAAAACAAATTATATATTCATTTTATTATTTATTTATTTATTCATAAGCAAGTCATAATCAACAATAAAAAATATTATTATGTATATGACAGTAGTAGAGTAAGTATAACATTTATATAAGTTATTCAAACTGTTTGAATTTAACAATAATAATAAATTTAAATATATTTTTATTCATTCAGATACAAATGTTTCCGTTCAAAAATCGTGTTAGTAAAAATGTGTGAAAATACTATTTCAAGAATGTTTCCATTCTAAAAATATATGTATGTAATGTAAATAAACAAAAATTGTTTTTTAACAAAATTGCGTATAAAATATATGTAAAATTTCTGATTTATAAATAAATTAAAACCGTATTACCCAATGTCAAATAATATATATTATATAAGGTAAATTAACAGATAAATCCAACGCGTTTTAATTTTTGGAGTAAATTCTCCCAGATCAAAAATTTATTTATTTTGTGTTCTATGATATTATATAATGGAATCATATTTAATAGTGTGCAAAAATTTGAAATAATAAAAAAACTTATATAAAATAAAATATATAATAAAATAAATAAATGATATAAAATATAAATAAAATACTAATTAAAAAATGTATAAAATATTATACTTATACAAATTTGTTTATTGCTACTTGCGCAATTTTTTATGATGCAATAAATAATTAAAAATTATATTTTAATTCTTAAACCTATAAATAATAAAAATTAAAATTAATGTGAATATTTATGATAAGTGATATTTTTGTTGGATTTTGTGAGCATTTTATTCGAGATCTCTTAAATCCCTTAAATCCCTTAAATCCACAAAATTTATTAAAATAGTAGTTCATGATTATTTGAATTAAGAGGAAAAAAACTTATTTATCATATGCATGTTTTTGTTACAATTTGTTTTTGTTAATCAAAATTGAAAATATCTTATTAGACAAAATGGTGTGATAAAGTAATATAAAAATATTTATATAAAACAAAAAATATTAGTTATAATATAAAAATATTAGTTTATTATTATTTAAATTTATAGGAAAAACGTATTTATCACATGCATTTTGTTACAAATTATTTTTGTTAATGAGAATTGGAAAATCTTATTAGATAAAATGGTGTGATAAAGAAAGTTAATATAAAAATATTTCATTAAGTGTATATAAAGCAAAAAAAGACTCAAAAAACATTAGTATATTAATGAAGTTTATACGAAATCAATAATAAAAATAAAATTTACCATAAGAATGTGAAATTATTTATTTCTTATAAAAATCGTATCAGCAATCGCAATTGGAGTCTTATAATCCAATTTGACAATGTTCAACGTTTTTTAGTATTTTCTAAAAATATTTTCTATTTTGTTATACATTAAATTAATATAAATATATTTTTATCTATAATGTGTCATTTTTTAGGGTTTCTGGAGCAAGTTCAACAGCCTATGCATATTTAGGAGAATTTCATGGAGATAAAACAAGAGCCAGGGCAATCAGTTGGGGAGCTTCTTTTATTTCTATGGGAATGGTATTTTTGCCAGGTAAAACTAGCTGTAAGTGGAATTCTGTCTTAAGGCAATTAAGGCATCGTGCCTTAAGGCAAATTGCTGGAACTTCCCGTACCAGAAATTATTTTTTTAAAAACGATTAACATTTTTGAAAAAAATTTACTTCAAAAAAATAAGATTTTTGACAAACAATTAGACAAAAAATTACTTTTTTTTGAAAAAAAAATTTTTTTAATTTTTTTTAATTTTTTTTTTTTGAAAAAAAAAATGTTTTCTTTATTTTGACATATTTTGAAAGATCTAAACTTTTTTTCAAAGCAATCGTACTGCTTTAACTGCATAAAGACGAAATATCAAACCGCGTAAGCTCCGCGTCGACGTCTAACGCGTAAACATTGGTACGGAACCCATAGGAATGTAAACCAAAATTATACTTATTGTTAAAATCTCTATAAAATATCTGATAATTTGATGCGCATATGTCTAATGATCATTTTTGACCGCCAAATGGCATTTTTTTTTACTTTTTTCATTAGATCTCCGAAACCGCTAGACCTGCCTTTATGAAAATTTGATCGGTATTTCACCTTGTCAATACAAGTAAAATGTTTTTTGAATTATTAAAATCGGACGCTCCGTTCTCTTAAAAACTGAGTTACCGTTTTCGGCACTTTTTGCCCAGTATCTTCGGAACGGCTAGACCTGACTTCGCCAAAAACTAATCAGCACGTCTCCTTACCAATACGAATCGAATGTTTTTTGAATTATTCAAATCGGTTGATCGGTGTTCACGAAATCGTCGACGAAAATTTGTATCCTCACATACATACACACACGCACACACACACACACACACACACACACACACACACACACACATACATCCATTTTTTCTAAGGTATGCCAAAATATTCAGAAACCTTTGAAACGTCGAGAAATGCAAAAATTTTCATTATCGATTTTTTTGCGATTACTATAACTTACCCTACGGGAAGTTAATAATATCCAATTCGCCAGATTTGAAATTAAATTGTTTTCTTTGTATATATGAAAAATATAAATAAATTGCAAATGATATGATTTATTCATATATACTCATTTACTTGCTGAAATACTCCCAACTGAATTTAAAGTCAAAACATATAGAGTCGATGAAGACAACTTGAATGAAGTATCTAAATGCAATTAATTATTTATTATTTTTATAACTATTAGTAATATTTTTGTAATTTTTTCGTTTATCTATCTTACATCGATTGACTGATTCAATGAATTCACAATTCCAATTTTTTTCAGCAATTGCTTGGGGAATAATTCCCCTCAACTTCAGATATCCCATACCAGGTTTGGGCATAGACTGGACGGCCTGGAGGTTGTACGTCCTGATCTGCTCGCTTCCTAATCTTTTGGGCCTGATTATGATTATAACATTTCCAGAAACACCAAAATTTTTGTTGGCCACTGGAAAAACTGAAGAAGCACTCGATGTTCTTGCTAGGATGTACGCCAGCAATAAAGGTAAAAATCGTTAATTAGAATAGCAAGATCACCTAGTAATATTTTATTTTTTTATCGTAATTTTTGGATCTTCAACAAAATTTTAGACTAATATGGTCTTACAATCAGTTTGATCCTTATATCTTTTTTAACAAAATTATGCAGAGACTTGACAACTGTTATACAATAAGTGAATCCAATTCCGATGTGAATTTTTATTCATTGATCAGCAGAGCATTAGTATTTTATATTATTGTTATTTCAGGCCGTAAGCCTTCTGACTTTCCAATAAAATCCCTGGACATTTCTGGTGTTTCTGGTAACCTGGCAAAAGCTGGAAATGCTCGTGAAATTGCTTCTCTCATGATACAACAAACAGTTCCATTATTCAAGAAACCACTTGTTAAATACACACTTTTGATTTGTATTGTGCAGTTTGGAATGTTTGCATCGTAAGTTTAAAAAAAAATACATGTATGAACTTAAATTTATAACTTACTATGGAATTTATTTTCAGTTCCAGTGGCATGTTCATGTGGTTCCCAGTGATAGCTAACGATTTGATGTCATATTATGACAAATTTGGACACTATGATGATGTCTGTACAGTTTTTGCATCAAGGGTAAAAGTTGATCATCATATTCTAATAAATAAATAAGAATATTAATTCAATTTTTATTTTTTCCAGGCACAATTCCTACAATCCCTTGAGGACAAATGTGACATCCAAGTGAATCCGAGTGTTTTCACTCTCACATTGATTTTGGGAGTCTGTTTTTCAATGGCTTACATCACTGTTGGCATTGTTATCAACATTTTAGGGAACAAAAATATTCTCAGTAAGTTATAATTGGAATTGATTTGTAAACCCAAATCCGGCATAGATTCTGATAAGATTCGCTTACGAGCGCGGCTCAATTCTATTTTTTGCTGAATTTTTATAATTCAACCGTTTATTATAGGCCTATAATATTTTAGTATGTCATTTCAGACTACGAAATTTATAGTTTTACGAACTTTCATCAAAATCGTCAAAAAATTCATCAACATTTAATTACAAAGTTCGGCGGTTCGATTCCCAACCAATATTTTTCACATTACATTTTTCAGTAATTATTCAGAATTTGATTTTTTTTTAATTTCAGTTTTTGGCTTGACTTTATGTGGTTCTTGTGGAATAGCTGTTTATTTTGCAAAAGAGTACTACGTACTGGTGAGCTTATTTGGAGTTTTTTTGGCAGCAGGAGTTTGTGTCGGTCTGATGAACACTATTACAGTAGACGTGTTTCCTACACATGTCAGGTAAAAATAATTATATTAATTATAATTGAATACAAAATGCTAAAATTATTCATAAGAAGCTTACGATTTTTATAAGAAACATCGTGAAACTAGGAACAAGTTCAAATTTAATTCAGGGAAAAGTATAGTAATTGTTTAATATTTTGCTATCGTTCTTAAATTCATTGTAGTAATCTCATATATGGCAGAAATGTCTGACTTGACGTTTGAAGTAGAAATGGAAAAATTTCGATTTTTTTTAGTCCAGCAATTCTCAATATGAGTGTAATGCATTAAACTTCTTAAAATATTGAGAAAAATAAGAGAATCTCTTTTGAAATATGTACCGACATTAGTTTTTCATTATGCACTTTTTTATGGCCTCTAAGAAGAAGCTCAGTTACTTGCCTTGGGTAATTCGGATTCATTTGTAAAATAATTTTAATCACAGTTTATATTATCTAGAACAGAAATCACGTTGTATATCAAATGGATATAACATTTGTTTTATTAACCGTTTCTTTGTTTTTGAATCGACCTGATTAATTTTTGATAAAGATTGGCTGGGCCATTTTCTTGTAATAAAGTGTTAAAAAAATTTATTTCAACGATTTTTATGATTTTTTTTTTGACCATAGTATAGATACTATAGTCTTATTGATCATACTAAAATATTACGGTCCTACAACAAGTCATTTAATTTTAAAAATTCTTCAAAGTTTACAAAAATTAGTATCGTTTTTTTGGTATTTGTCAAAATTAGACCTTTCATCGACGTTCGCTTAAAAACGCCTAAACCAATTGCAGAATTTTAAAAGCCATTTGATGTATCTCAATAAGGACTATCGTTTGTCAGTTTTGTGCGAAGATCTGCCAAGACGTTTCTTTGTAATTTGGAAAATAGTGTTAAACTTTTCGTCCACATTTAAGCTAATACTACCGAAACGATTTAAAAAAATCAAAAACTGTTCGAAAAATATTAGTTGGGAATAATACTGATTAGTTTTAAGTAAAAACCTACCAAGACATTTTCTTGTAATTTAGTGTTGAAAAAAAATTAAGCCGATTTTTATGGAACTTTTTTTGGCGATATATATCATGGTCTTATAGAACTTACTGAAATATTACGGCCTTACGACAACTAGTTTAATTTTAGAGAAAATGAGTGTTTTTTTTTATGTTTGTTAAAATTAAAATTAGACGATTTACTTGGTATAGCGATAGAACACCTGGTCATAATGAACATACTAAAAGTCCCGAGACTTTTAATCACTCATAAGTTAATTTATTTTGTATTGATTAAGTCGATTATTTACACATATCGGGAAGTTCATATAGCATGCCTAAAGGCAAAATACCAATACCAAATAGTTTTCTTTTTAAATTTCAATTATTATTCTCTACATTTCAGGGCAATGGCATTGTGTCTTTCCTTGATGATTGGACGTTTGGGAGCATCTGCTGGTAGTAATGGTGTCGGATATATGTTGGAATATAAATGCGATGGAGTATTCTTTGTTTTTGGTGGCATTTTATTATGTGAGTACTAATTAACTACTTAATTGTAATAGCAACAGTTACTTTGTGGACAACTGTTTCTAAATATTTTTATTTTCAGTATGTGCCTTTTTGACGATCTTCATTCCAAGAAAACGACCAGAAAAATCGGTAACCACCCAGGAAGCAAATAGTGTCGACAGCTAAGTTTATATTAAATATTATTTTATAATTTAGGATTATTTATTATAAAATCCAGTAAGAGTATTGTATATATATATATATATATATATATATATATATATATATATATATATATATATATATATATACGACTAGTATAAATTCATTAATCATTCATTATTCGCCAATTATCGGATATCGACTTAAAATCAAAATATTTCTGAAGATAAAACCAAATACGATTAAAAACAGATTCAATCTGCATCGTCGTTAGTCACCGAATTTTTAAGATATCTTACAAATCTGATATTTAATTAAGCGCAAAAATGTCTTTGATCTAATGTAAACATGTTCAATTTTATCATCGAACTTGTGCCATCAGCATAATAAATCAAGTATTAAAAGTCATTTAAATTTTCACGTGATACATAGATAAATGAAAGTAATAATGAATACAAATATTTTTTATAAAATTTGCTGTATTATATAAATTAAATTAGGGGGTGTTCATTAATCACGTGATCGATTTTTAAGTTTTTTGGACACCTTGGTGATACATAATGATATTTAAAATTACCATATCTCTTCCCCCATCTAATATAGTAAATGTTTTGGAAATTAATGGATTTTTTTGTAAAATATCGCGTAAAAACTATATACACGTGATATCTTACTAGACCACTCCTTCCCCACGTGATATTTTGTAATTATTTTGTCAAATTCCTGCACTAACCTTTTTAAGCTCTGCCGATTAATAAATAGCTATTCCCTTAGCTAGTCCCTTATTCATGTTTAAATCTACCCTTGATTTTGCAAATAAAAACTGGGTTTTGGGGCAATAATCTATTTTTCTTTCACATAACTATCATTTCACAATCATTCATCCATTTATAGACAATATTGTAAACATTTTTCCATTTTTTCCTAGTATTATTCTTAGACGAATTTATAAGCAAAATTTGAAGTTATATGTTTCCCTTATATTACTTATGTGAAATTTACTTAAATAAATATATAATAAATAAATTAATTAGTACTTACGTACCTATTAGTATTAATTTTAAGTACATCTGTGATTTTTAGTAACATTTTATGTATACAAATATAATGCACTCATTTTAAGAATTAGGATTAAAAGGCTTCCAAATTTTTTTTTGCGAAAAATGTATCATATAAAATTAATTAATTCGTATTTGTAAGTTAATGTAAATAAAATACAGAAAAGTTTATCAAACGTTAGAACTTTTTATTTAAATTGTTTATAATTAATTCACTAAGCTCATTTTATGTTTCCTTTTCGAACAATTGATCCCATAAAACTAATTATTTGCGTTTCGGAACTAAATACATTCCATCATCCAATAGTCAATTTAAAAAAAAATACTAGTAGTGTATGGCATATGTGCTTTGAGGCAAATTGCTGGAACTTTCCATATCGTAACGGAATGTTTGAGGAATATTAAATGTTTTCAAATAGATTATTTTATATACTGTAACATTGTCTAATATTTATAAGAATTATATAAACTGAATTGCAAAGTTAAAATTATTTATTTAAAGTATATTAGAACTTTAGTCAGTATTGAAAATAAAATCTGAACTATTATCGATATACAAAAAAATTAAAAAAAAAATTGAATTTTTTTCCAATAGCAATTATTTTGTTAAAACAAGCAGAAAGTTCTTTGAATCATTCAAACCGGACGCTTAGTTCTCTCAAAATCTGCCATTTTTTGCATATTTAGCTCTATATCTTCAAAATGGCTAGACCTACCTTTACTAATAACTAATCACCTCTTCTCCCAATCCGTATCTCCGTGACGGCTTGACCGGTCTTTGCCAAAAACTAATCGTACATCTCCCTATCAATAGGAATCGAATGTTTTTTGAACCATTCAAATCGATTGATCCGTGCGCCCTAAAACGTGGACAAAATGAAATTTCGTTTTTAAAATATTCTAATAATAATGACTTTATTTGGTGCAGCAAAGCCCATCAGAGATGTTTTCTCTTGGTATGATATTATTACCTATGTTTCGTTAAGTGAAAACCGATGTTACTGCTTGACATCAGGCTGTCTGAAGCGGGTTTCGAACCTCAAGCCCAGGGGCTATCCGAATAAAAATAGAAATGTATTGATTTTAGGAACCAAAAAGGAATGCGCATTTGGGTAAGTGAAAATTTTTTGAATAATTTAAATTTAATTAGTAATTTGTTTAATTTTGTGTTGAACCTTTAGTTATTTGCAGAAGCCAAAAAGCGTATGAATGATTTATAAATTAAGCATGAATTGCAATTTTGATATAGGTGAAAGATTATCACCATGTATTAGTTGGTGGTCATTAAGGTCCTACGATCATTTCTGGGAAAATCATAACAAATTATTTCTTGCGCTGTCATTTAATAATATCGATAATTGATAATTGATAATCAAAATCAAAACACTTATTTTCTTAATATTTTGGTGATTAGAAGTAGTCTGACTTTAAATGGTAGACGGGAAGTGAAGTGTACCTAATCTACCAAAATATTTTCAAGATCTCAACTTGTTTGTTTTTTTTTTCTAAATAATAATAAAACTTTTTTTAGTTATATTAATTATTCAATGAATTAATTTATATTTTATTTACTTGTAAAAATGGTGTCAATGAGCGAAATTTGTAGCAGCGAAGATGATAGTAGTATTCGATTAAATGGTGAGCTACATTTTATGCTAAAAAGAAAAATAAACTGGAGAGAAATAAATATATAGATTATTTTAGAAATTTAGAAAATAGAAGGATTTCTGGTTTTTGATTTTGAAGAAAATTTATTTAAAATTTAAAATTTATTTTATTTAAATCTTACTATTTACATGTGTTAATAACTATACTTATATGTAAAATTACTATAGAGAATCATCTAGTCCACTTAGTAATACCAAAATCCGAAAATTTTGAAATTTGTTTTCTATTTATTCGTTTTCGATTTATATGCAATTTCAATTACTATACTGAAAGTTAGAAATCAAATAGTAGTAGTATATCATTTATCTTTCATGATGTTGAAATTTTCGAAGTTCTCCTGATGAATTATGCGTAAACATTTTTGCACAAATTTGTTTCCGCAATCTCATTATTTGATTTGGAATCTGCGTACAATGATATAATAATTCTAAGTCAAACTTCATATTTTTTTATTAGAATTTACATATTTAGCATCGTACATATACACACATGTAGTGTGTAATTCTTTATCAAATTGGGTAAACACGGACACCGCTATTTAAATAGAGGTGACAGAGTAAAAGATCAGAATAAAAAATAATTAATATATATTTAATAATTATTTTATATTTTATTTCATTCTTATTAGGAACTAAAATTTTTGCTAGGCTTTTGTATGAAAAATAATTATCTTAGATTCCATAGCAAAATGAAATCGCTCTGAACAATAAATGGAGTTTTAGGAAGTTCTAATTTATCTCTTATTCTCTAAAAGCTATAATTCACCAAAAATTACGCCAAAAATAATGGATTTTTTATAATTATAATGGTGCAAAAATATTTATATAATAATGCATTGATATATTTATAAATATAAAAATTTGTGCTTGTGGCAATTTCATAACCATCACCAGAAATTATAAAGTTACATGTTTGGGCAAAAAAAAGTTGAAAATTGAAATAGCATTTCGAATATTATTTAAAGCATCACATTTTCAGAACAAATTCGTTTAAAGTTTTTAACCAGAAAACCAAAATCATTTTAATTGTATTTAATTGTATTCATTATTTTGTTTTTAATTTAACAATTTAACATTAGGATTAAGGATTTAGCTTTAGAATTAAGGTAATAGTCTTAAGAATATCTTAGACTTGTTTGAAACAAATCGACTAAATAGTTTTTAGAAGAAAAATTAGGCATAGAGAAATTTGAATTATCCAAGTGTGTGTGAGTATATATAAAAATTCGCAACATGTATATATGTATACTATATGATTATAATTATTTTTTATATGGTTCAAGAACACAGGCCAGTTGATCAAGACAATATTTGCTCAACACACTTGATAAATTGATATTAAATTATAATCTATTTGTTTAAATTCATATGATCGACGTTACGTCAGCAATTCAATGAATTATTGTATCATTCGATGAAAAAAATACATTTATAAAAAAATCCAAAAAAACTCTAATTTATAACATATTAGATTTTTAAAAATTTCGGAAACAAATGTCACTAATTCGGAGAAAACGTCAAAATTGGATTAATAGATTTTTTTTAAATTTGTAAAACTTTATGCATTAAGCATTAATATTAAGCATTTTTTTAGATTTATATTTTCAATACCAATTTTTAAAAACAGTTTTATTTTTTTTTTTAATAATTCGTTTAAGGAACACTTGACAAAATTTACAAACAACCCTTCAGCGAAAAGCTTGAGGAAGCTTCAGGAAGCTTGAAAAAATCTATATCATGGTTTAAATTATTTATATGCTCGATTAACATAGTTTTGAATTGTTTGGGATTTTTTGACTAGCTTTTATTTATTTATGAAAAGGCCATATAATAATTATTCTTAGCAAAATTTACTGAGCAAAATTTTAAATTGTCTCTTAAAAAAATATGGTAGAATGGAAAATGTTTTAAAAAAAATGTATGATGCCTCGTTATATATATAGGTATACTTAATAAAATCCTGAATATATTTTTTTTTAAGTTGCAATAGTTTAGTTTGCATATGTAGATCCACCTTAAAAAAAATTAATGTACATTTTATTTGCTACTTTATTGAAAAAATAATGAAGTTAATAATAAAGCTAAGGCTATTAAAAATTATTTTTCAAATAAGATTAGATAATATTTTATACTTTTTTACATAAATTTTATCTCTGTTCTCTTTTATAACTTTTTCAATTCGATTTTTTAACTTTGCTGTTAGGAGAGGTCCAAACTACAAAAAGCATACAAAATTTGATTGTTTTATTTATTTTTTAGATTTCTTGACTACTTTTAATGTGTGAATTACATAAAAAATTGATAATGTTATATATTTAGTACAAAATAAATTCTGGTACATTTTTAATACCATTACTGAGCATTTTTTAAAGATATTTTACGAGGTGGTACATTGCGATCACTCTCACGTTGCAAGTCATACAGTTCGCACAATTCTAAAAAGGCTGTGACATTTTTTTTAAAAAAATTAAAATAACAAATTAGTCGTTGTAACAAAACCATGTGAATAAATCAAAAAACTTATTAGTGCTAAATTCTGTAATAAATTCAAAATTGTTTTGATTACATTTGTGTATAGAGTTAGTGAACATGAACAACTTGGCCTTTGAGTATGATATTGATGCTGGTTTAGAAAATGGTACTTTTTAATAGTAAACCTGATATAAATATTTATAAAAATTATATATACTAAAATTAATTAGCTAGCAGGATCAATTAATACTTTTTACACATAATTCTCGATTCATTCTTCAAAGAACATTGTTAAGTTAATTACTATGTCATTTAAATGTTTAATTTATTTTAGATTTGTATATTATTTTAATTTTTAATATATAATAGATGCTTCCATTCAATGTCAAATTCATCGTTATCTTGTAATAAATTATCTTGTTATACTTTAAAGTACATGCATTTAAAAAAAAACAGATGATGTTAGTGCATGTTCCAATTGAGTGAAAAAAATGTAGAAAAAATGAATTTATTTTTTGATTAATCTACTCTCTAATTATGAATTAGAGAACAATATTCTAGTATCCTAGTTTTAGTGAATCAAATGTTGAATACTTAAATTGCAGGAAAAAGCAAGAAAGTTGAAGGATCGCAATCGGCCACATTTGAGGAGGCGATTGATATAGCAGGTATGTAAAAATATTAAAAATAATTAATTTACAAAACTTATTTATTTAATAAATAATTTAATAAAATAATTAAATAATAAAATAATTTAATAATAAATAATTTAATAAAATTTCTGTGATTTAATACAAACAAAAAATTCAAATATTTGCAATTAGTTGATTTACTAATATCACAAATAATTTGGTATTACTTTAACTAATCGAAATAATTCAAAACTGAGGCTTCAATTCAATTTGGTATTCAACAATATATATATGTTAATGGGTTAATTTCTAATTCTTGTTTTTAATTTTAGGAACAGGAAAGTACCACGTCCTCATACTATTTACTACTGGTTTTTGCATGGCTGGTGTCATCACAGAATCCATGGGAATGAGTTTTGTCCTACCATCAGCTGATTGTGATTTAGATATGTCTCTAAATGAAAAGGGACTTTTATCATCCAGTGCATTCTTAGGTACCAAATATAAAAAAATCATACTCAGTAAAAATAAATTTGTCAGATTTAAAATAAAGTTGACTGATACCAATATATCCCTGAAAGGAATGGATCTGTGTTTTCCACCCAGTAGGTTCTGACTGTTTTGTGACCAACTTATTCACTTTTTCTTTCAAAAATGTATCTACAAACACTATGACCTAAATGATCACAACTGTAATTTTGTTTACCAAACAACCGCAATATTTGTGTTGGATGTTTAACAATTTATCATAACCAAATTTATTAATTAATTGTTATTTATCTAGTTTATTTCTTATTTTACCAGGTCTAGTATTAAGTGCCCATACGTGGGGTTTTTTGGCAGACACAAGAGGTAGAAAATTTGTGATGAAATGGTCTTTGGGATTGGCTCTGGTTTGTTCCTGGTTGTCATCATTATCACACCAGGCTTGGCTTTTGGCTTTGATGCGTTTCCTTACAGGATTGTTGTGAGTTAGAAGGTTTTTATTCCTTTAAAAATTATTAATCTTACTAATTATTAATTAATAAGTAATAAGTTATAACAAATTTTATTCTATTTTTGAGGAAATTATTCCTGATTAATATCTACCACTCTTGTGATCATGCACCAAATCATGTATGAAGATATTAAACATATTGTAAATTATGAAGATATTAAACTTCTTTTTTATTTAGCAATATATTTACAACTGTCCTATACATAGACATCATTAAGTGAATCTTTTGGCAATTATATATAAAAAATGACATCGATAAATATATTAAACATATTGAACAATGAAAACCATGCAGTCTCATTTATAGTCAATTCTTGTTATTTTTAATATTTCATATAATTTTCGAGATTTTTTTCAATATTCATTTTTTATTCATGTTTTTTTATAAAATTGCTCCTACAGTTTTCATGTCAATTTTTTATCTAAATTTTGTTATTTTATATTTATCATCTGATTCATAAATGATGGTGCATCATGTAATTTTTTTAAGCATCTCCTATATATAAAAATGTTTTTTAACCTGGATAACAATTTCAATGATAAAAAGAATTCATACTTAACTTCTCTTTTAATTAGTGTTTATATTTTAGATAATTTCATCTATTTTTTTTTATTTCTAGATGTTCTGGAGCAAGTTCGACGGCCTATGCATATTTAGGAGAATTTCATGGTGATAAAACAAGAGCCAGGGCAATCAGCTGGGCTGCTTCTTTTATTTCTATGGGTTCTGTTATATTACCAGGTAAATGAAAAAAAGCTAAACTACTTCCACGATAAAGGTTTAAATAGATTCATTAAATTTATTTTTTTCCTTTCAGCAATTGCTTGGGGTATCATCCCACTGAACTTCAGCTACCACATACCATTTTTGGGCATAAACTGGACAGCCTGGAGATTGTATATAGTCATATGCTCCTTTCCAAATCTTCTTGCCCTGATAATGATACTGAGATTTCCAGAAGCTCCAAAGTTTCTCTATTCTACTGGTAGAGCAAAGGAATCACTTAAAGTTCTTGCTAATATGTACGCCAGCAACAAAGGTAAATAAAATAAAAAAATAAAAATACATATTACTATTTAATGTTAATAATTGTAATTTCAGGTTGCAGTCCATCTGATTTTCCTGTTAAATCTCTGGACGAGTCTAATATTCCTGAAAATTCTGCCAAATCTGGTGGCATCCGTGCGATCGGTTCATTGATTTTGAAGCAAACTGTTCCTTTGTTCAAAAAACCACTTTTGAAATATACTCTGATGATATGTTTAGCACAGTTTGGAATGTTGGCAGCGTAAGTAGAAAATGAACCAGAAGTCATTGTGTAAAATTTTATCAGTACAACTGAGGCGACTAAGAAAACTACTGCAAGTCTAAATAAAAGATAAAAAAATTGACAAATACTAACATTGAAAAAAGTATGCATGTAATCTGATTTTGACCTGTTGTCAACGTTTTCTCCAAAATTACTATACCGATTTTAAAATGCTAAAATTGAGCTGTTTAATTTTCGTTTAAGATCCACCGGATAGTTTCTTCACAATGAACTGTTGAAAATTTGTTGATGATTTCAATGATACTTTTTTTGATGAATGAGTTTATGGTTTTAACGAATATCCTTAATATTATTAGTCTCAGAATTTGTTCTGATTTAAAAATTTCAGTTGATTTATAAAATCATTAGAATTGTGGACTGTGTCAAAATTTCAAACTTGTATCGTCACGTGAAAGTTGAATTCGTATTTTTTCAATTTCAATTTTTTAAGTCATTTTTTAATTTTACAGATCAAGTGGTGTCTTCATGTGGTTCCCAGTAATAGCCAATTATTTGATGTCATATTACGATAAATTTGGACATTACGATAGCGTCTGCGCTGTTTTTGAAGCCAGGGTAAGATTTTTCCGATATAATAAGGACAATTTCAAAAATTATAGTAATAAAATGATTTATATCTACAGACTACATTCTTGGACACAACTGGAGATAAATGCGATGTCAGTGTGAATCCTCAAGTTTTTGTTCTGACTTTGATTTTGGGAATCTGCTTTTCTATAATGTATGTTGCTGCTGGTACTGTGATTAATATATTGGGGAATAAAAATATACTGAGTGAGTATATAAATATTATACATTTTCTCTAAATTGCTGATTTAAGTTTGACCAAGAATTAAAAATTATCGCGAGAAAAATAGACAATTTTACAAACCATCGACCTCAAGATAGACCTCAACAAAATTGTCTATTTTTCACGCGGTATTTTCTAATTCTTGGCTCCTTAGGTGCACTATTATTAATAAAATATTTTTATTTATTTTTTCAGTTTTTTGTCTAACACTAAGTGGTTCTGGTGGAATAGCCCTTTATTTTGCTAGTGATTATTATACCATAGTGGGCTTTTTTGGTACATTTTTGGCATCTGGTGTTTGCGTTGGACTGATGAACACTATTACAGTTGAACTCTTCCCTACACACTACAGGTACGTAAATTAAAAAAAAACAAAACATAAATTATAAAGTTTAAATACGTATATTTAATGTAGCTACCATGAAATTATGCTCTGGTAAAATAATTACCAATAGTTTATTCATGGTTTAAATACATTCCCTAATTTTTCATACTACATATTAAGCACTTCAAATATGAAATAAGAATTCATCTGAAGCATATATTTAATATGTGAAAATTGTTTTGATTTTTTTATTAGGGCAATGGCTTTGTGTCTTTCCTTGATGATTGGGCGTTTAGGAGCATCTGCTGGTAGTAATGTTGTTGGATACTTATTGGAATACTATTGTGATGGAACATTCTTTGTTTTTGGTGGCATTTTATTATGTAAGTTTCCTCATTATTAAAATTTAACGAACATGAGATAGCAACCTTGCAAAATTAAATATAACAAAAGCTTTATTAGTGCGTATCTGCTTTTTTTTCGTTTCCTATAAAAATTCACATTTATTTGCTTTCAATTTGAATCTTTTATTACTAATTGTAATAAAATGAAAAAATATGCTGCATCTTAAGATGATCAACTTTTCTAGTGATTTTTAAGATATATCATCAGAAAAATAACAGATTAGCGAAAATATTGTAAAAAATTTACACTGTTATTTTGTGTTAACACGTTAATCGCCACCATAATACCAAAAAAATTTTGACATGGTCCATAGTGAATTTATTAGTTAATTCAGTTAAAAATGTATCAAAAAAGCCTAAAGACCAAATAAAAAAAAATTGCTGCAAATTCCTGAAAAATCACTACTTTTTATGTCACACTTATATGACCGACATGGCTACTAGGTAATTATTTTATTATAATGATAAACGTGTTAGCGATTTATAGATATATGTTTTAGAATATTCTGAATCCTTATCCACAATAACCTGGGAATAATATAATATGTGTGTGGGATAGGTAACTTTGTACTGTTTTTGTTTTGAATTTTTTTGCTATTTGAAAATATTCCTACAAAATTTGGAATTATTTATTTAGTATAGAATCATAAATAACACAATAAAAATTTGTTCATAATTTTTTTTTCCAGTGTGTGCCTTGTTGACAATTTTCATACCAAGAAAACGACCAGAAAAGTCGAAACCGGCTCTGAATGTGGATACTGTAGAAAGCTAAGTCAATTTTTAATTTATTCTATATTTTTAAGATAATTTTGTAGTTTAAGATTATTTATTTAATATATCTATAAGAATTATTATATTATATTTATCATTGGTACTCACTCAGAAACCCGTGGATTTATATATTCCAATATTATTTTATGCCATAAGATAAGACTTTCTAGAATAAATCTCATTAAGAAAACAAAATTGAATTGTCTCAAAATTCTTAGATTTTTTCCATATATCGCAACTTAGAATTCCGCACGGTATGGCTTACAGGAAAGTTACTGTTGAAAAATTCAAGGAAAACTTGAAAATCTCGAGGAAATTATATTACTTTTAATATTGAAAATAACTTTTTTCTATTGCATTACAATTTTAAAGCCTTTAGAGTCAATGCCAATTCTTTTAAAAATATTTGACTCGTTTGTTTATAAGATTTAACATTTTATTGCAAATTTATAATTTCACTATTCATTCTTAATTTGTTGATATTTTCTTAATGCCACACGTGCCAGATAGTAAGAGTGTTTTATCATCTTGGCTGCCAATTCACGTATATAATTAAATAAATTATTTGGCACACTATTTCCTGTGACGAGGAAAAAAATTGCCAAACATTATATACGTCATTAGAAATCGATTTTGAATGAAGTATATAAATATTTGCAGTCAAATAGTCGAAATAAAAAATAATAAATAATTAACTATTCATTATGTACGTTTCGACTCTGTATATGCCTCATCATTCAATATGTTTAACAAATTCAACCAGGATAAAAACACATTTCAATACGATATTGAATGAAAATAAGCAGAAGATTGAATAAAATAAAATAATAAACTAATGGTTAAATTATAAAATTTTGTACATAAGTCACACGATTACCAAATTTGTAAAAAACAAGTTTTAAACATGGTGATTAAATTTGTGTGTTTTTTCTTGGGCTAAACATTTAAATTACTTAGATGAAGTAAATATTATTCTAGAATAAACAATATATAGAGTTTATCTAGAAAGGGTATGGGCGTGTTTCCATACAGAATTGGCCCCACCCTGGTATTTAAATAATTTTGATGCCATTTTATAGGTATTTTCGAGAAAATCCGATATACCAAATTTCAAATCCGTAGCTCATCATTTGGCCGAGATATCATTGAAAATGTGTGAAAGTGGCCCCTTTTTTCAAAGTCGTTTTTTGTCGCAACTATAAAAGATATCGACAAACAAATAACGGGACTCTATTCACATCGGTGTGTACTATATTATTGATAATAAATATTGTTTAATAATTATTTTTTAGTGCATGAAAAAGTGAAAATAATTTTCTGTTTTGAATTTTCCGGTAGTGTGGTTGTTTGGACTAATTTTTAATTAGCATCATTAGAAAGGCTATTGAATTTTCTTTTAGTGTGCAAAATTTTGTTTTATTTCATGTGGTAGAACACATTCAAAAATAGGAAAAACCTGAGCAAGTACACGCTCGCGCTCATATAACACCCGTTCAAGTCGTCTCTGATTTGCAATGACTAGCAACAGCATTGCTCGCCGCGCGTCTTGATAAATTAAAACTTTTCTAATAAAACACAAGATATTGTATATGTATACAATATACTATATTTTTATTTAATTAAATATATATTATTTATGTATTGCACAAGTATATTATATTATTTAATCATCTTTAATAATTAATTAATTAATTATTACCTATTAATTAATTATTAATTATTAATTTATTATTAATTATTAATTAATATTAATTATTAATTATCACTAAATAAATAAAAAATAGATTGATAAAAAATATACATAATAATAGTATATCGGTATATGATTTCTATTCATGCTACAGCAATGTATAGAAATGCAAGTATACTAAGTTAGTCTGAATATATTTTAAATAATATCTTGAAGTTTTTTTTTTAAATTAAATAATATATAAAAATATATTGAATAGAATATCTCTACCTATAAATACTCATAATAATAGTTGAACTACTGTACTATTGTGTATCATCCTTAATTAAAACGAAATTTGAAATTTCGCGGCAAAAACCACACATAAGATAACAAAATGCAGACAGCATAAAATTAATATAATTCTGGAATTTAACTAATCACGAAGTTTTCGATAATCATTAAATAAATAATGATTTTTTTTAAATTTTTGTGTGGTGTTTGGGAACTCTACACTTTTGTACCAGATTTGATTTTGCACTTTTCTTATATTTTAGTGGCAATTTAATTTGATTAGTGTATAATTGAGTTATTACCATAATACAATTAATAATGCCGCGAAATCGTTCAACTATTATTATGAGTATTTATAGGTAGAGATATTCTATTCAATATATTTTTATATATTATTTAATTTAAAAAAAAAACTTCAAGATATTATTTAAAATATATTCAGACTAACTTAGTATACTTGCATTTCTATACATTGCTGTAGCATGAATAGAAATCATATACCGATATACTATTATTATGTATATTTTTTATCAATCTATTTTTTATTTATTTAGTGATAATTAATAATTAATATTAATTAATAATTAATAATAAATTAATAATTAATAATTAATTAATAGGTAATAATTAATTAATTAATTATTAAAGATGATTAAATAATATAATATACTTGTGCAATACATAAATAATATATATTTAATTAAATAAAAATATAGTATATTGTATACATATACAATATCTTGTGTTTTATTAGAAAAGTTTTAATTTATCAAGACGCGCGGCGAGCAATGCTGTTGCTAGTCATTGCAAATCAGAGACGACTTGAACGGGTGTTATATGAGCGCGAGCGTGTACTTGCTCAGGTTTTTCCTATTTTTGAATGTGTTCTACCACATGAAATAAAACAAAATTTTGCACACTAAAAGAAAATTCAATAGCCTTTCTAATGATGCTAATTAAAAATTAGTCCAAACAACCACACTACCGGAAAATTCAAAACAGAAAATTATTTTCACTTTTTCATGCACTAAAAAATAATTATTAAACAATATTTATTATCAATAATATAGTACACACCGATGTGAATAGAGTCCCGTTATTTGTTTGTCGATATCTTTTATAGTTGCGACAAAAAACGACTTTGAAAAAAGGGGCCACTTTCACACATTTTCAATGATATCTCGGCCAAATGATGAGCTACGGATTTGAAATTTGGTATATCGGATTTTCTCGAAAATACCTATAAAATGGCATCAAAATTATTTAAATACCAGGGTGGGGCCAATTCTGTATGGAAACACGCCCATACCCTTTATATTTCCCTAAGCCAACTTCAACAGTTCGTTAGTAACACGATATGAATACGAAAAATGTGGTATCAGCATTTGCTAAAAGGAACGTGTGGCTAGTGATGAGAAACATTAAGTTTATTCATTAATTTACTCCATTTTCGACCACCAATAGATAAAATATTTTTAATTTTAAAGTAATCACATAAAATATGTTTTTTGCATATTTTCACGTTTCAAGACTTCCTGAACATTTTGGCATATTTTAGAAAAAAAATCCACGAGAGCAGAGATTTGAAGATACGGGCAAAAAGTGCCAAAAATGGTAATTCAGTTTTTGATAAAACGGAGCGTTCGATTTGAGTGATTCAAAAAACATTTTACTTGTATTCACGGAATGCCGAATTGATTAAATTTTTGGGATGGCAGGTCCAGCGGTTTCATAGACCAAATAAAAAAGGAAACTAGTGGGGTGCATGGCATCATGTCTTAAGGCAAATTGCTAGAACTTCCCGTACCTTAATTCCCAAAAAAATTTACAAAAAATGTGTACACATTATTAAAATCTCTATAAAATATCTGATAATTTGATGTACATATGTTCAATAAACGTTTTTGACCGCCAAATGACATTTTTTTAACTTATTTTCATTGAGAGTCCATAACTTCTGGACCTGCCTTCCCAAAAATTTAATCAGTTCTTCATCTTGTCAATATAATTATTGACAATTCTTGTCAATTTGAATTATTAAAATCGAACGCTCCGTTCTCTTAAAAACTGAGTTACCGTTTTCGGCACTTTTTGCCCCGTATCTTCGGAACGGCTAGACCTGCCTACGCCAAAAACCAATCAGCACGTCTCCTTATCAATACGAAACGAATATTTTTTGAATTATTCAAATCGGTTGATCTGTGTTTCCGAAATCGTCGACGAAAATTTGTATCCGCACACACACACACACACACACACATACACACACATGCATACATACACACACGCATACGTCCATTTTTATTAAGGTATTCCAAAATGTTCAGAAACCTCTGAAGCGTAAAGCTATATAAAAATTTTCATTTTCGATTTTTTTACGATTATTATAACTTACCCTACGGGATGTTAAAAAAATGTCATTTTGCAGTTATAAATAAGATTTTAATAATAGTACAAATTTTGTTTACATTTCTATGGGTTATGTACCAATATTTATCCTTAAGATTGCGTCACGGCGCTTCCGCGCTTCGATATTTTGTTCCTAAAACATCTACGCAGCGTTATTGCTTTAAAAAAAGTTCAAAAAATACACAATATAACAAAATCTTTTTTTTTTAAATAGTCACATTTATTCAAAAATCTCAAAATTTTCAAAAATCTAATTATTTTAATGTTTTCTACATTTTCTTAAATTTTTCACAAAAAAAATTGGTACGGAAAATTCTAGCAATTTTTTTCAGTTTAATGTACTCGGTTTTATTGCGAGTAGGGTATTATCGTTTTTTTATATTTTATAATTTGGTCAACTCTGATTTTGAGAAAACGTAGGCAAAATGCAATATTTACATTCACCCACATACATATTTTCTCAGGTTTGTGTCAAACGATTCAGAATGTCTCAAAACGTCCAGTAAATTATCAATTATGACATAACTTTATTAAATTCTTAGAGAAAACTATAAAGATTTTTTTTATTTGTTTTCGGATTTGTTTTTATATGTATATATTATTTTTTTATTATATTAGTTGCTATCAGCAACGGCAAAATAAAATTTCTATATTACAAAAATAGATCATATATATTCCATTGTCGCTAAACAAACATTTCCATCATAATCGTCCCGAATGCAACTGTATTCCTTCTGATGCGATCAATATTCTCAGGTCTATTTTTGGTCAAGGTTGGTTCTAGAATTTTGCGATTTGGCCAAGAGCAACTAACTCACTAAACTCACTAGATTTAGCTTTGATCTTGACACCGAGCTATCATTCTATAGTTCTAGTGTCAACAATCAATAAAACAACAGTATTGGAAATGTCAATGGAAACGTTTTGACAAATTTAAAGTTGTGAATTGAAAAACACACAGAGTTGGTTAGTTGGTTTGTCGAGTAACATGACGAGGATTCGAAGTAAATTTATAATTGTGTGATAAAAGTGGTCTAAATAGTGGTGAATAATTAAGGATAAAAGATACATTCTTTATATTATATAATTTACTGTTTGTTATAATTCATTAAATTCTACACATAACATGAATTCGTTGATCAATAATAACTTCCAGAAGGAGATATTTATGTTTTCGCGCAAAAATCCGATTGGCTAATTTTATGTTTTCTCGACGTGTCATTCTGATTCGCATGAGACCAAATTTGAAAAAAGTATGTGTATGTGTATAAGAGCAGATTTTTGACCTTGCGTCGACGTTTTCTCAAAAGCGGCTGGACCGATTTCAAAAATTCACAAGACATTCGATGTAACTCCATAAGGACTAGAGTTTATCAATTTTGTGCGACGATCGGCCAAGCCGTTTCTTTGTAATTAGCAGAAAAGTGTAAAAAAAATTGTTTATGTTTTCACGCCACAATTTTGAATACATTTAGAAAATTCAAAAACTGTTCGAAAGATTTTAGTTAGGAAAGATATTGATTAGATTTTGATAAAGGGTAAAGATGTTCTTGTAATTTGAAATATTTTTGTTGACGATTTTCTTAATTTTTTTAACGATAGATATCATGGTCTTCTAGAACATACTGAAATATTGTAGGCCTACGATAAGCGGTTGAATTATAAAAATTCATCAAAGTTTAAAATTTTCCAGCGCCCTGAGGCGATTCTTATCAGAATCTATTGATAAAAAGATTTCTATATATTTCTTGTTTAGCTATATAAAATACCAAATATTATATGGAAATACGAACTTTTTTGAAAGTTGATTTATATGGAACTGTCGTTTTCAAAAACAAAACGATTATCTTTTATATTACCTGTCACATTGATTTTTTACGCTTCAATTCGCAAGCAAATTCATATAATAATGTAGTGCGATGAAAAATATATCGAAGAAAATTCTTTTTATGAAAATAATTATATATTTAATAACTACTAATTTTTTTTTTCTCTTATTTTCTCCAAATTTTAACACTAATTAATTCCTTCTATTTGGTATCAACAATGTCTTTTTATTTATGAAATACCAATGATGACAAATACAAATGACCACTTGCAGAAAATTTAGTAAATTTAAAAGTTTTTAGTTAATTTGCGACATTTATGGCATTTTTAGACATCTATAATATTTCTAAATAAGCTACAACAATTATGTATAATTTTAACAATTCCTATTTGCAACATTTTTAGGCATTTTACGTAAAATAGAAGCGTAAAACTGGACATGGATGCTATAGCATTCATCTAGTATATAACGATTGAAATATGATAATAGTATTTTCGCATTATCTTATCTTCTACGGTAAGTCACTACACTAATTAGCTTTGGCAAGCATATTGCATAAAATACAAGCGTAGACCTTGACGTGGATGCTATAGCATTGAGAGTATATCGAGTAAAATATGATACTCTGACTATTCTTATAAAATGTGTTTAATCAAATTTGGATGTCACTACCAATTTGAAAATATTTTTTTTTGCATAGGTTTATTGTCGATCAAAATAATAAATAAATTAAAAAAATTTTCAATCTTCGAGTAGGAGATTCCTCGCTTAATTTTTTAAATATTTGTTTGGGCGACCTGGTAATTTTTTGCTCCTTTCTTTTAATATTTCATTAATAGTTTTTATTTTTAAAAATAAAAATATAAATTATATTTTAATAAAATGATTCAATTTTTGTACCTCGCTGAAACTTTTGATATCCGCAAACGTGTTATTTAAAATTTGATATTATTAATTATTTGTTTAGTAATAGGTACCAAAATATATATTTTTTACAGCTTTTTATACAGATAATAGAACCATAAAGATGCGGTTTATTTATTATACCTGATTTATTTTACCTACATATTATTTATTATTTAGTAGGTATTTATTGCACCTACAAAGAGGAAAATTTCCATCCCTTTTCGAACGTGCAATGTCGTAAAATAATAAAATAAAATATAAAATTTTAAAATACAAAACGTGTTTGGTATAGGATCTATAGGAGCATAAAGTATTTGTAAAACAGTTTAAATAAATTTAATTTTTAACTTCCCGTAGGGCAAGTTATAGTAATCGCAAAAAAATCGAAAATGAAAATTTTTATATATCTTTACGTCTCAAAGGTTGCTGAACATTTTGGCATACCTTAGAAAAAATGGATGTATGTGTGTGTGTGTGTGTGTGTATGTGCGTGTGTGTATGTATGTTCGGATACAAATTTTCGTCGACGATTTCGGGAACACCGATCAACCGATTTAAATAATTCAAAAAACATTCGATTCATATTGATAAGGAGTCGTGCTGATTAGTTTTTGGCGAAGGCAGGTCTAACCGTTCCGAAGATACGGGGCAAAAAGTGCCAAAAACGGTAACTCAGTTTTTAAGAGAACGGAGCGTCCGATTTTAATAATTCAAAAAACATTTGAACAAATTTGTATTGACAAGGTGAAGAACCGATCAAATTTTCATAAAGGCAGGTTTAGCGGTTTGGGAGATCTAATGAAAAAAGTAAAAAAAAATGACATTTGGCGGTCAAAAATGATCATTAGACATATGCACATCAAATTATCAGATATTTTATAGAGATTTTAACAATAAGTATAAATTTTGTTTGCATTCCTATGGGTTCCGTACCAATTTTATTCGTTAGACGGCGACGCGGCGCTTACGCGCTTTGACATTTTGTCTCTATGCAGTTAAAGCAGTACGATTGCTTTGAAGAATAATTCAGAATTTTCAAAATATTTGGAATATACCTGCCTGTGCCAAAAACTAATCAGCACGTCTTCTTATCAATACGAATCGAATGTTTTTCGAATTATTCAAATTGCTTTATCCGTGTTCCCAAAATCGTCGACGAAAATTTGTATCAACACACACATACATACACACATATACATCCATTTTTTCTAAGGTATGCCAAAATGTTCAGAAGGTTTTGAAACGTAAAGATATATAAAAATTTTCATTTTCTATTTTTTTGCGGTTACTAGAACTTGCCTTACGGGAAGTTAAAAATACTCTGAATATATTCTAATTTGTTTCAAAACGCCGTAAAATATTGCAAATTGGCCTGAAAAGTAATATATTATCTAAAATTATGGGAAATTGTAAATTGTATTTAAATACTGAAAATTTTGTGTTGTTAAAAATGTTTACAATCGTCAATTAATGTTAAAATTTGTCTGTAAATACTTTGTCTATAATTTTTGTAGTCTGTCTGGAAATATTTCTAAAAATGCCGTAAATTCACTGAAAATATTTAATGTAGGAAATAGTTTGAAAACCTTGCACTCCGATATAACCAAAAATACTTTATATCCGTTATATCCGTTAACCGTTTTATGTTGTATGAAAATGCCGAAACATTTTTGTATATATTGCAAATTAATTTAAAATTCCGTATATAATCTGAAAATGCCGCAAAATAACCAAAAAAGTTGTACATTATTTAATTATAAGACGCCTGAAAAGTTGATGTCTAAAAATTTAAAATTGTAAAATGTACTAGTAGATGAATGCTATAGCATCCACGTAAAGTATTACTTGTCTGTTTTACGCAATGTGCTTGACCAAGATAATTACTACGGGAAAAGATAATATAATACGAAAATACTATTATCATATTTTATGCAATTACATGCAAATGAACAAAATTTGTTTTCAACTAAAAAATAAATTGTTTTTATTATCATCGAACAACCGTTGTCCTTTACATCGAATTTAACACCTATTGACACCCACTTTTCCACCTCATATGGTTTTTTGCTCCCAACAGTTTGAGTTTTTTCAATGTGTAGTGTCTTCGTGGAAAGAAGATAAAAAAATATTTATCCAACGGATCGTAAAGAATTATTATTAAGTGACATGTGGACTTAGAGATTCGGATGCATTTGATTTGATTTATTAAATCATAATTTTTTATGATCTGTGCCTAAATATTTTGCCGAAGTAAAAGAAAGTGCTAGAAGTTAGAAGAAATGGAGAAAATGGAGAAAATTGATATGCAAAAGTTTGATGGATATGGTAAGTTGACTCAAAAATTGTTAAAAATTGGATTTCAATCTATTTTTTAAATTTGTCTGAATTGCATTTAAGAAAAATTTTAAATATTTAAAATATATATATATATATATATATATATATATATAAATTTGCCTATATTTTTTCAGGCATTTCAGATTACAATTTTTGTCTGTCTATTTGTCTATTTGAACCATTTTTTTGCGTTAATAAATATTTGTTTAAAATAATTGTCTAACTCGTGTATCGTGTGATTTGAGATCTTAGCTATTTTTGGCTAATTTTGAATTTTAAAATAATTATTTTACTAATAAATGTTTTATATAAGTTTTTCATGAATTAATTGATTCATCGATTGAATTTAAAATAATAAACCTGTAGGGTCAGATATAGGAAATTTAAATATAACAGGCATATAGTTTTGAAAAGTTTATTGAAAATATCAATAAATTAATAATATTTCAACTGATTTTATATCAAAATTTCTTTCTAATATTTAAAAAATTTAATTGCATAAATATTCATTTATTTATGTATCGTGTAATTTGAGATGTAAGCCAATTTTAAATTTAAAACAATTATTTTCATAATAAATATTTTATCTAATTTATGAAAAATAGATTCATCGATTGAATTAAAAATAGTATTACTATTAAATATATTGTTAAACAAATTACAGGTCAGATATAGGTAATTTAAAATAATTAATAATATTTTTTATTTTTAATAAATATTTTAATGTTTCGATAAATTTTTATCAAAAAATAAATTATATTTTAGTCGACGTTTCAGATCAAAATTTGTTTCTGATATTTAAAGAATTTGATTGCTTTATTAAATTTATTTTGTTTAAAATAATTTATTTGTAATTTGAGAACAAATATGACTTTAAATTTTAAATCATAAATCACTTGTATATTTCACTAATCAATGTTTTCTGTAAGGTCTTTGTAAAACTCTTATTTTTTTATTTTTGTTAATTGAATAAAAATCAGTAACAACGATATTTTTTGTATTTTAAATATAGAAACTAATAGTTAACTTCACATTTTTAATTTGGAATTTCATGATTTATTGGTAATTTTTCAAAATATGTTTTTATTTATATGCGATTCCAATAAGAAAAAGTGATAGAAATAATTTGTTTATACAGTCGTTATTGTAAGATAAAATTATCAAATCTCCTAAAAAATAGAGTATTTTAAATTATTTAAATTATTCAGTAAAGTTACTCATATTCTGACAAATAATACATTAATCAATAGTGTCTATTTAATACATTTTTATTTTTTACCTATTTACCTGAAATTCTAAATTTCATAAATTTATTAATGAGATTAATATGTTAATTATATTTTTAATTTAATTATAAATATTTTATATAATTTTCAGACACGTGGAAAACTAAAGAATCTGTTATAGATCAGCCTGTAGATTTTGATGAAGCTATTTCTTTAACAGGTATGATAAAGCATAGTTTATTATATTCATTATTAATAATGTAGTAATTTGTAATATTGTTTTTATGAATTTTTTTCTTCGTGTTAAAAATATATAGGCTACAAAATGGGGCTTAAAGGTCCGCGGAAAATTTGTTCACCTCCGATATATCAGAAACAAGTAAAGTTAAGAATTTCGTAACAACAATATTTGAAAGTAGAGGGCAAAAGATGCATAACCAGCCATCACGTTGATTCTTACGACGGCGCTTCCGGGATATAAAGGGCAATGTTTGAAAATCCCTAACAAAAGTATTTTCTTTCGTTCTTTGTTTTTCTGGTCGTGAGCACTGTTGTTTAGTTTACGAGACCTTAATATAAATAGTAACTATTTGTTTTATAAGACGTTAACTTTAAGTTAGATTCAACAGTTTTTTGTATATAACCTCTATAAAAGTTTACTTTAGGATGGGGTAAAAAGGACCAACTGAACCTTTACTCTAAAAAATCACACAATGCAAATAGTAAATAAAAAAGTAAGTTAAATTAAAAAAAGTAATTTTTCAAGAGTTTAATAAATAATTATTTCAACTTTGCTGACGATTATTTCTGACGAAATACCAGATCAAGGTTGTATTCATGAAACTTATATTTTGCATTGGTTGAATAATGTACCCATTATTTCGTAAAATCTCTTCAAAATTAAAAATAATACATTAGACCTGGTGCCTCCTGGTTGTTTCATTTTACCACACCTATGAGGCAAAAAGGTCCAGGTGACAAATTTTTGAAAAAGTACAAAAAAACTATTTTTATGATTAGTTGGGAGTTTTACTGAACATAGTCAGATCGTTGTTTGTTTGCTATGTGTTATTTGTTGTGATATAATTAGTTTGGTTTTTGCAATATATTTGCTCAGAGTCAAATTGAACCTTTGTGCCCCGTCTTATCCTATATAAGTGAATTTAATATTTATATATTCAACATTTACTTATATATTGCAAATCGTATACGAAATCTCTTTCTTATTGTTGCAAATATGTATGATAGGCGCGTACTTTGCATTTTCTCTGCTAAAATGTGCCATCAAAATGCTCAACTTGTTGAGCTTATGCAAAACTTACAGCTTTGCATAAAATATACCACAAAGTTTAGAAAAAAATTTACCGTCAGGAATAATTATATATTGCGTACAATAGTGATAGAATTGTATGGAGAAATAGTGTTAAAGAAGTATTCTTAAACACGGGGCTATGAAAGTTTATTTGTTGAAGTTTTAGATATTTATATTTTAATATTAATCAATGAAAATTGTTTATTATACATTATTAATAAAAAATTTAAATTAATTTACACGCAAAATTTACAATATTTAATAGGTCTTCAATGTTCCTATTAGTCTTTGAGCAATTAACAAGGGGAACCTCAAGCAGTCTAGTTTTGAATTTTGATTATACTTTGTATGATTATAGAGTTGATACTCAAAATAAATCTCCTAAAATATTATAGGCCTAGGGAAAATGTTTTTCGACAGGTTTGGAATTAATATTTTTTTCAACAATTTGAACTATAAATTTAAAAATATATTAGGTAAGATATTTTATAAGGTAGAGATATTTGACATCTCCCTTCCGCTTTTTTGCTCTTGGTTTATGGAAGTATGCCAGTATCGTGATATTAACTATTTATTAATAATAAATTTTATTTGTCGTTTGAAAATACGACGACAACGTCATTGTATTATATATTCTTCTACAAAACGTCTTTAATAAAAAAAACTAAGTTTTTAGACCTTTCTTAAGACTTGCTGTTTGGTTTTTTGTCTTAGAATACTCTTATTTCTACAGAAATGTTGATTACTTCAATTTACTTAATATTTAATTTCATTTAATTAATTTTGATATTATATTATATTTCAGGTTGTGGTAAATTTCATATAGCAGTACTTTTAACATCAGGTCTATGTCTGGCTGGTGTAATAACAGAATCCTTAGGTATGAGTTTTGTACTACCATCAGCTGATTGTGATTTAGATATGTCTTTGGATGAAAAAAGTTTGCTGTCTGCTAGTGCTTTCTTAGGTAAAAAATAAATAATAATAATTAGTATTATTAACATCATTAAATATGACCCTAATATACTTATATTAAATTATTTAGATCAGATTCAAAATCAATCAAAGTTATACTAAAATTTATTATGGACACACATTTAATTAAGTGATATGATTCTTTTGTAGAATTTTCATGCATTATGTATATGTATAGCTTGAATATATTTTATATTATAAATGCAATAATTAATTTTTTTTGTATTACAATTTTAGGTTTAGTATTAAGTGCCCATACTTGGGGTTTTCTGGCAGATACGAAAGGACGTCGTTATGTAATAAAATGGTCCTTGCTCTTCGCCATAATTTTTTCTTGGACTTCATCATTTTCACATCAACCTTGGATGATGATTCTTTTGAGGTTCTGCACAGGTTTCATGTAAGTTTAGATAAATTAATTTATTTAACATCATCCTATACATTCAATTAAATGTTGCTAGAATTATTAAAAAAGCACTGGGATTTTTATATTTGTATTTATACAAAATTAAAATAGAAATACAAATAATGAAAGGTTCATCATATTATGTATCAATATAGGGTCTTGATGATATGAAGATGGCTATAATGTCTTCATTTTGAGCTTTTTGGTCCTCTAACTCAATTTATTTAATCCTCAGCGATTCTTGAGATATTCCTGACTTTTTTTTTTTCAAAAATATCAAATGACTGATATAGTTTACTAGTGTCTTTTCAAGTCCTACGTAGTTGCAATATTTTTGTTCAGAGTTATGTTATTATATTGTCAATTTTAAATAGTTAGTATTTCTTGATAAATTTTAATAATAGTCAGTTTTACTTGATAGAAATTGAAATAAATTTAGCGATGGGATCTATAAAATGATATATATTTATGTGCAGAAACATGATGAGTTTTCTGTTCTCACAAATTTTATAAATTTTTGTTTTATATGTATGAATAATAAATGATATCAGTTGTGTCATCTTTATATGAAGAAATTTCGCCATAAAATTTTTAATATTACCCGGTAAAATTATTACTTTTTTCACTAACATCACTACTTCATTTTTTATTGATATTATTTTTATTATATATCTAGATCTGTTTAGTTATAAATATAGCATTGTATTTAAAACTATAATTTTCACTTTATCTAATATAATTAATATAATTATCACTTTATAAATGAATAGAAATATTATCAGATTGTCATTAATAACAAAATTCAATAATCATAATTTTGAATTAATAGATTTTTAAATTTAAAATTTTCAAAATTGGATCGAATTTAAACTGAATGTGAGCGAAATGCTTTAGCCGTGTAATTTTTAGGTTTTTATTTTTTACTCGATTTTTTTACTATAAAACTATCGAGTATTATAACATTTCACAATTCTGATTATATGCAGAAACTTTTGATGCAACTTGTCAACCCACTTTAGTACAAATTTTTTAAATGAGGCTTTTTTAAAGTCTACCAATTTTGAAAAAATTAAATTTATAATTAACAAAAGGTCTTTGTTCTAGAAAACTTTGGGCAATTTTGTAATTATTTTTAACAGTAGTTTTAAAAATGTTATTCACGATTATGGATCCTAAGTTTAGATGAACAAAATTAATCAAAATAAAATACAAGAACCGAAAAATGGTCACAGTTTGACCAAAGCTCCAAAAGCTCATAATTTTCACGATAGTTACGATCAATATTATCAATCTGTTTTGGCCTGATGTTGAATTCTGGGATACTTCCATATATTAATTTCTAAATATAATTTTAGGATATCAGGAGCAAGTTCTACTGCCTACGCCTACCTTGGTGAATTTCATGGAGACAAAACTAGAGCCCGAGCTATTAGTTGGGGAGCTTCATTTATTTCTGTAGGAATGCTTTGTCTACCAGGTAAAACTGTTAAAAAATATTTTGAATTGATAATGAAAATATGCTGTAAACATATTACACAACAAAGTACAATGATGTAACTGTCTATGAATGAAATGATAAATGGTAAACAAGAAATTGGGACAGATTTGGTAAACAGTGTAATTCAGTAGAAATAAATCTTTTATCCACTAATGAATATACAAAAATTTTGGTATACATTTTAATTTTTTTTTTTTGAATTTCTATTTCAGCCATGGCTTGGGCAGTATTACCTCTACCTTTCAACTACCACATACCATTATTAGACATTAATTATAATTCTTGGCGAGTTTACATGCTGATGTGTTCCATTCCTTGTTTACTATCATTTATTTTGATAAGTTTTCTTCCTGAAACTCCTAAATTTTTGCTGGCTCGAGGACGAACTGATGAAACTTTGGATGTTCTGACTAGAATGTACATTAGCAATAAAGGTAATAATTGACATAAAAAAAATGTTTATTTCTGTGTGTGTGTATTTATTTCTCATATTTTTTTTATTTTTTTCAGGAGGTGATTCAATGGATTATCCAGTTAGATCTGTGAATAGAATCGAATCAGATTCTAATGTGAAAGCTGAGAATTTGCGTGAAATTGCATCTTTGATGCTTCGCCAAACTCTTCCTTTATTTCGAGCACCTTTGCTTAAATATACTTTATTGGTATGTTTGGTGCAGTTTGGAATTTTTGCCACGTAAGTGAAAGAAAAATCTGATCCAATAAGTATCCTTGGTAAATTAAGTACATTATCTTATAAAGTTACCATGTGAAAATTTGTCTGTTATTATCATGGGGATCAAAGAGTCAAAATAGCTTTGTGGTAAAAATACATTTTTAAATCAATTTTTTCCCTTTTAGATCAAGTGGTATGTACATGTGGTTCCCTATGATAGCAAACAACCTATTTTTATACTATGAAAAATTCGAGAGAAACGGTGGAGTTTGTACAGTTTTAGCATCCAAGGTAAATTCTCTAACATATTTCTCCAATATATTCTCTAACTATATTGAAAATGAGATTTATTTTTTTACTATATATTTTATTTCAGGATGCAATAACAGTAGAATCAACAGATCAGGATCAATGCACCTCCAATGTCAATCCTGATGTTTTTCTTCTGACGTTAATTTTTGGAACCTGTTTTTCGTCCTTGTACATCATCATTGGAATTGTCATCAATATTTTGGGAAATAAAAATATTTTAAGTAAGTAACATAATAAATTATTAATTGCCAAAATCATTAATTAAATGTGTAAACAAATGAATTTAAAGATTTTTATTAAGTGAATATTTAGCTTATAAAATAATGTTTTCGGAATTTATATCCGAAATTTGGCGAAGCAATTTTTTAAAATTCAAAATTTAAGGTCGGTTGTTGATATTTTAGATGGTTCATGTTAATTTTGAAAGCTTTAAAAATCAAATTTGTTTTGTTTTGTCCGAATTAAATTTCATGTATTATTAGACATATATTTAAATAAAATATTTATTAGATAGCCAAAAATACTACTAGGGAAACATAATTTGGATAAGTCAAAGATTTATTGCTTCAATTTATATCTTCATTACCAATTTCTGAATAATTATGTTTTAATTTTGTTGAAATATTTATTTTATATAATTTTTAAAATATCTTTGTTATAATTTTCAGTAACTATGTTAACAGTATGTGGAGCAGCTGCAATTACAATTAATTTCGTCGAAGAGCACAATTTTTTGGTAACATGTTTTGGTGGTTTATTGGCATCTGGAGTTGCTGTAGGTGTTCTTAATACAATTGCAGTTGATTTGTTTCCAACTCATTACAGGTAAAAAACTATCCATTTAAAAAACAATACATTATGTAATACATTGTCATGTACCAAATAGTTCTATAGGGTAGGGCCGCCTAAGGCCAAATTAACTTTGAAGCAATTAAAAACCCAAACTAAGTACATAGCAACAAATAATTAGAAGTAGAACTTAGAAGTTTTTATACTATTTGTTTTAATTTGTCACCGGTTCTTTTCACCTCATAAGTCACGTGGTAATTGAAAGATAAAGAGCTTTTTAAACAAATTATAAAATATTAGTGAAGCATTCACAAGAATTGCCCGACTATTTTGAATACGAGTATTTTCCATTTTTTGTTTATTGATGCGGGACCCTAATTTAGCTAAACGCTCAAATTCCTAAATAAAATATAAATGGTAAAAATGTTTGTTTCGATATCATACGTTATTATAAGTAATTTTTAAATTTTCATATTAGTGCAAAATTCAATAAATTGTTATTAATAATCATTTATTAACATTTATATAAAAAATTGATTTGTATACGGCTAATGATAATTGTTGCCTTTTTTTTCTGTTAGATCTACCTTCCGCAAAATTATTTCTTCACACCATATAACAGGTAAAATATTTTCTGAATCATTCAAATTGGTTGATCCATGCTCTCTAAAACGTCGACGAAAGATTGCGCACACATACATCAATTTTTTTTAAATCATATCAAAATGTTCAGAAACCCTTGAAACGTAAAGATATGCAAAAATTTTCATTTTCGATTTTTTGCGATTACTATAATTTACTCTGCGGTAAGTTAATTTAATGTTAAATTTACAATTAAATTTGTCTGTTTTTATTTTTCAGAGCAATGGCATTGTGTTTATCAATGATGGTTGGCCGATTGGGAGCATCTGCTGGAAGTCATGCCATCGGGTACATGTTGGAATATTGGTGCGATGGCGTTTTCTTTGTTCTTGGCAGTATTTTGATAGGTAAGTAATGAAATTATAAATATCTTAAGGCAGCGGTTTCGAACCTGTGGGGCGCGCTCCATCATTGGGGTACCCGGCTGTTTCAAGGATTACGCGTACATCTGTTTCCGGAAAACTATTTTGGAAAATAACTACTATATACTATTTCCCAAAATATTGAAATGATGTTAGAAAATTTAACGAAAATAATTAGTTTCTATGCGTAGTGTTACATAATATTACATATTGATTTAGGTAAAGGTAAATTGTTGCAAAAATTAAGAGGGGCGCAATTTTTTTTATTAGAGCGGAGGGGCGCAATGCAAAAACGGTTGGAAACCACTGTCTTGAGTCAATATTGAATTATCATTTGGACAGATATTATTTGAAATATTTTAATAGAAATTTATTATCAATTTTTCTTAATTGGGTTGATGTGGCTCATTTGGTTTTGTTTTTAAATTTTAAAAGTTTTATATATAATTACAAGTAAGATAAAATTTACGATAAAGTTTTATATGATTTCTGATTAGTGTTTCTACTTGTAATTATTATTACATTTATTATATATTATTATTTATTTCAGCGTGTGCAGTCATCACCATTTTCATACCAAGACGCAATCCACATCTACTTACACCAACAAATTAAGAGGTGGGTCATATATATACATAAATATATACATATTTGTATTAATTAAACGACCAATATATCCAATATGAAAGAAACAAATATAGGTAGCAATTTATTCATAGATTTTGGCACTTGATATATGCCATCATTCAGCTAAAATAATATAAAACAAAAATAAATTGAGTAATAAAAATAGTATAAACAAATGGAAGGGAAACTAGAAAAAAAATTATAATGCACTTTTTGTTTTTAAATAACAACCAAGATAGACAGATCTAGCTGAATGAAGTAACTTATTCTTAAATGTATAAATTATTAATTAAATTGATAATCGTCTAAGAATATTAAATTCTCTTTTCAGTTCGATGTATTGGTCGTCTATTCAATACAAATGTGTTTTAACGTAGAAAAAACTATATATTCAGTTTTTTTATATTTGATAAATAAATTCATTTTTTTAAATAAAAGAAGTTATGATGATGAGATTCATCAATTGATTCAAAATGTTGACGAATCTGAAATTAGAACATATGTGATTCTTTTAAAGAACTGAATATCTCGAATATTCTTTTAAAATGTCCTTAACACGTTAATCGCCACGATAATTTCAGAAAAATTTCTTTGTGGGTCTTGGTCACTTTATTAGATAATTTAGTTAAAAATGTATCAAAAATTTTTTTTTGCCAAACACTATCTTTTATGTCACATATGACTGACTTGACCCTATATTAAAACTTTTTTTTCCTTCGCATGGCTCGTGTAGAACTTTCTAGTGTCAGACGCATATGGCTGACATGGCGATTAACGTGTTAAAATTAAATATATGATATTAAGCACAAAAATACAGGTCCAATACGATCCAACTAACTCAGTAAATAGTATTTTCTTAGATTAGAATATATACATACAGTATTTCCAAAATTTATAAACAATATTCATCTAAAAAAAAATTTATCATGTATTGTTTAAAATTAAATGTGATTGACGAGGCGATGATTGAAATTGTCTGCCGATAGTATTAGTTGATAAAAGTCTATTATATTATTTAAGATACTTTTGTGACATGTAAATTGTGATATTTAGGCTGGATATAAAATTTTATTTTGTACATATCAATATGGTTTTATCAGACTTTTCATTTTATGCATATATTCAATGTTTTGTTGATAAAAATATCTGAAAGGTAAAATGTTTGTTTTACTAACTTTTTTATATTAGACGATTTCAAAAATTTAAAAGTCAATCGATGTAACTCGTTAAGAACTTGACTTTTAGCAGAAAAGTTCTAAACCCTTTTTTTACGTTTTTGCAAAAAATTCTGATTCGACTTGGAAAATTCAAGAACTGTTTGAAACATATCATTGGATTATCGTTTGGTAAAGATCTACATGGCCAAATTATTATTTGTTGAATTTTTTCTGGCGATTTTGATGAAACTTTATATAACGATAGATTTTGTAGTCTGAAATTTCATGCAAAAATATTATAGGCCTACGAACGATAAGCGGTTAAATTATAAATAATCGTCAAAGTTTAGATTAAAGGATTCTAATCAGAATCTATAAATCTAAAATACAAATTGGATATCGTATTGATTATTTTTTAATTAAAACAAAGATTATAATTTCGAAAAGAACAGTTGAACATTTTACCCAAATAGCTGAAAATTAATTTTTGTTGATTAAAATTATTATCGGAACTGGCCTTAAGGCAAAATGCTGCAGTTTAATAATTTTTATTTTGATTTTCTTAAATAAATAATTATGGACTTTATATAATGAAGTATCCTGCACATGGACAAATAAAAATTATTTGAAAGTAAAAATTCCACATTGAAAAATATTATTTCCTAAAATCTCAATATATAATCTGAGGCACTTAAATTAATAACGATACTATAATTACTATTATTACCCTATAATACTAATTACCTATAATTAATATTATTATTATTTGTTACAATTTTGAATATAACCGCCATTTTGAAAAAAACGATTTTTTGGGGGATGGTAACGCTGTTTTCCTCTTCATGTTAAATCGTCTTTGCGAAATGTCGTTCTGTAAACAATCATGGACGTTACAAGTGGTATGTGTCAATTTTGTTATAAAAACGTGCTTAAAATAAGTGTTAGTGATGGTTTTAGTGCATTATACATGGACATCGACATAATTAACACAATATGCAGGTAATATATCTTTTTATTTTAGTTTAACATGGCATATATTCGTAGAAATGTGTATCTATAATTTTGCACAATATTTTAGGTTTGTACTGATGGCGAGGCGGATGGCGAAGGGTGAGTCATTTTAAATTTCTTTCTATATATATATAAACGAGCACGATAGCAAGGATTTAATTTACTGTGCAATTAATGTTGCAAAATATTTCATTATATTTGTCAAAATGTCACTTTATAAAGTGAACATATATTTTGACAGGACTCGTCGTCAAAATTTGACATTTCAAGGATCGTGTCACGTGATTGTAATAGATAAAATTTCTTTAGTTTATTTGATATGATGCTTGTTTCCATGGAGTAAATTGAACGAAGCAATTTGTGTAATTTGAATCTTTACTAAAATGACTAAAATTGTATAACGTCCAAGATATTCAAACAAAACTTTTGTCGGCAGGAAAGTTACCATTTGACATTTTACGTCAAATATTGAAATATTGTTTTATTGTAGCCTCTTTGTTAATTAATATTTTCACACATATTTCTTCTCCTAGACAATATTAGAATATAATATATTTAAATAAACGTCTTTCTTTCTTGATATTTACGTTCAGAGAGTTAGGAAAGAGGGTTCTACTTTCAGCCGCGATGGCGCTGTTATCGCCATTCAAATTAATGGCGCCGAATTTGAAATGAAAAAATTTGAATGATTTTTAATATTCTAAATTTTGCATTATAATCGTATTATGTTTAGTATATACATTTTCTTTAGTTTGAGCACGGAATATTTATTAGATTTAAATTTACATTTATTAGATTTAAATAGATTCACAGGATTTAACAATATTGAATATTAAATTGAAGTCCACAATGAGTGAGTTCACAATTCTTAAAGATAACAAACCATAATCAAAATACAAAACAATGAAGAATTGCTTAAATAATTCATTGTCTTGATTTTATGAGGCTTGATGATAATATCTCTATTTAGAGCATCTTCAAAATAGCATCTTTAGAGTCCTGTATACCCATTGATTCACAGACTTTCCTAAAAATTTAAATCAAACTGAAAATCAAAAATTTTGATTGAAAATGAAATCGTGTATTAGAACCTTATTGAATTCATTGACATGCTTATGAAATCTGTGAAGCAGAACTAATATAAAAGCTTAGAAGTGAAACAGAGTTGTAAAAAACCTAAATCTATAAATTTAGTTATTTTGCATTTAGTTGTTGATATCTATTCTAAGACACTTGCCAATTGTAAAATTTGATGATATTCTTGCCTTTCTGATATATTTCATTCTTAATTACATTTTGATTGAAATGCTGTTTTATAAAAAACAAAGATTTTAAAACTTGTTCGAAGAATTCAATCATGAAAAAATATCATGTTACTAAACTAAGTTCAATCTTGGATAATTGTAAATTTTTATTTATTTCCATTTTGATAAATTTAAATTTTCTTGCAAATTTAAATGTTTGTATATTCAAATTGAAACAGATATTTTATGTAACTTTTTATTTAATATTTTTATAAATCGTAAATTTTATGTCTAACATTTTTTTTATTCCACTACATTATTGTCTTAGGGTATACAAAACATATATTATTAAATGCTATCTTTTTTGCTAATCTGTCTATATGTATATATTAAACTTAATAATATGAGACAAATAATATTTTATTTTAACAATAATATAATTAATAAATAATTATAAGTAGGAACCCTTAAGAATCTTAACTTATTGTTATTAGAAATCAGTACGTATATTCAGACGTTGTTCCCACAAAATTTTCAAACTTTGTCACTCATTGCAATGTATAGTTAGATAGAAAGAGAATTAAATATAAAATTATAATAATTCATTGCTTATTATATAGTGACCGTTAATTAATGACTCTCGAATCATATAAGAATAAGAAAATACTTTATAACAAATTATTTATAAAAATTATTCATTAAACTTTATATCCATATCATTTCAGACTTTGGTTTCACAAAACACAATTTAAATTAAAAACTACCAATTATCATCATTCATGCACAAAGCCATTCACAACATCAAAATTCAGTTCAGTTTAATGTTCAGCAACAGCATTTCCATTTTCTTCCTTGTTTTCTTGCACGGCTCTCTTATTATTCAAGAAACTAAGATATTGGGTTAATCTTAAAACAGCTATTAACGAAGCAACATATTCTTGAACATCTTCCTTGTTCAAATTTTTTAATTGCTCTGCAACATTCCTGTAAACCCTACGAGCAACCTTGTTACTCAAATGACCAACAGTTTGCACAGTATGAAGCACCCTATCAGTTTCCAAAGGTGTTACAGACGATCCATCATCATTTTCAGCTTCTTGCAGGTCTTTCTCGGTTGCTGGGAAGTAGTAATCCAGTAATTTTTCTGCAAGGATTGAGGTCGAATCGATTCCTTCAACAGCCATGTTGCCATACTGAGTAGCCAACACTTCATTCGCCTTGTTCCATGATAAATCTTTCAAGCTCTGGGCTTTCTTGTTGCCCATCTTACGCAAGGTGCAAACTTTGTGAACGTTGTCTTGAACGGTTTTGGTGATGGCTTCTTTCTTCTCCCTGAAAACTTCTCTGGTCTGGTTTAAGATCTCCTGAGGTTGTTCCTTGACGATTGGAACTGAGGCTTCTAATTTGTTGATGCCTTTGACGAGGGTCTCATCGACATAGTGGATTGGTTTGTCAATTTTCTGGATGTAAGGGGAAGCTGTTGCCAGGGCCAATTGGACTGTGCTTTCGGCTGTTCCAAATGCCCATGTTAACATCGGGTTGTAACCTGGAAAATGATAATAAACATATATAATATATAATTAAAGACTAGCTGTAATACAAACTAGCTGTAAGTGGAATTCTGTCTTAAGGCAATTAAGGCATCGTGCCTTAAGGCAAATTGCTGGAACTTCCCGTACCAATTTTTTTTTTTCAAAAAACGATTAACATTTTTGAAAAAAATTTACTTCAAAAAAATAAGATTTTTGAGAAACTATAAATTGGACCAAAAATTACTTTTTTTTGAAAAAAAAAAATTTTTTTAAAAAAAAATTTTTTTTTTTAATTTTTTTTTTTTTTTTGAAAAAAAAATGTTTTCTTTATTTTGACATATTTTGGAAGATCTAAACTTTTTTCAAAGCAATCGTACTGCTTTAACTGCATAAAGACGAAATATCAAAGCGCATAAGCGCCGCGTCGCCGTATAACGCGTAAACATTGGTACGGAACCCATAGGAATGTGAACCAAAATTATACTTATTGTTAAAATCTCTATAAAATATCTGATAATTTGATGTGCATAAGTCTAATGATCATTTTTGACCGCCAAATGGCATTTTTTTTTACTTTTTTCATTAGATCTCCGAAACCACTAGACCATTATGAAAATTTGATCGGTTCTTCACCTTGTCAACATAAGTAAAATGTTTTTTGAATTATTAAAATCGGACGCTCCGTTCTCTTAAAAACTGAGTTACCGTTTTCAGCACTTTTTGCCCCGTATCTTCGGAACGGCTAGACCTCCCTGCGCCAAAAACTAATCAGCACGTCTCCTTATCAATACGAATCGAATGTTTTTTAAATTATTCAAATCGGTTGATCCGTGTTCCCGAAATCGTCGACGAAAATTTGTATCCGCACATACATACACACACGCACATACATACATACATACATACACACACACACACACACACATACATCCATTTTTTCTAAGGTATGCCAAAATGTTCAGAAACCTTTGAAACGTAAAGATATATAAAAATTTTCATTTTCGATACTTGATCTTCGTCGACGTTTTCTCAAAAACGGCTGAACCGATTTCAAAAATTTAAAAGCCATTCGATGTAACTGGATAAGGACTGGCGTTTATCAGTTTTGTGCGATGATCAGCCGGGCCATTTCTTTTTAATTAGCAAAAAAGTGTTAAATTCTTCGTCCACGTTTCAGGTCACAATTTTGGATCGATTTTAAACATTCAAAAACTTCGAAAATTATTGGTTGGGAATCGCATTGATTTTTCAAGTTTTTATTGAAGATCTTCCTACTTCCTGTAGAGTAAAAGTTAAGGTAATCGCAAAAAAATCGAAAACAAAATTGTTTGCATATCTTCACGTTTCAAACGTTTCTGAACATTTTGGCATACCTTACAAAAAAAGGCCATTTGGCGGTCAAAAATCATCATTAGACGATTTTAGTAATAAGAACAAATTTCTATGGGTTTCGCGTTTATATTTCGTATCCGCGCAGCTGACGCAGCGCAATTACTTTGAAAAAAGTTCAAAATTTCCAAAATATTTCAAAATAAAAAAAAAAAATTAAAAAAAGTCAAAAATCTCAAAAATCTTTTTTTCAAAAAATTTTTAATCTTTTTTAAAAATTTAAATTTTCGGTACAGGAAGTGACAGTAATTCAAAGCACGATGCCATGCACCACTAGTTAATTTTTTTTTATGAAGCTTTGAATGACAATAGATTTGGTAGTCTGAAATAATATACTAAAATATTATAGGCCTATGATAAGCTATTGTATTATAAAACAATATGATTGATGAACATATTTTGGTTAAAAATTAGATAGTATTGTGATAGTTTTCTAAATTTGATTTATCCATGAAACTTTGTACATTGCTTCCATGAAAGATAACATTTCCAAAAATATTTATATCAATTCGAGTCCGTTGTACATTCGAAGTGTTTTGTAGATAAAATATATGTACAGATAATATCATGGCATGGAATTTTTTGCCGTTATGAAGCCATGTTTGTTTAATGAATTATTTAATTTTTGAGTGGGCTTGAACTGATAATAATGAGCAGATTAAAATGAAAATACATCGCCATTTGTTATGAAGAAATGTGATCAACCGAATAATGATATCACTCATATGAGTGACTAGTTCTAACTGGCATTTTGCCTTAAGGAAAGTTGCAGGTACTAACTTATGTGTAAATAATTCACTTGATCAGTAGAATTGATATTCAGCTATTTAGGCAAACTGATCATTTTGAAAATAATTTTCAAGCAAATTTTTAATACAATACAATTCTAGTATTACTTAATTACATGTATTGTATGTCCTAAAATCATTGTTCATCATTACAAACTTAGATTTTTATAGATCAACCACTTTTTGTAGGTCCAAAATATATTGGTATATTCTTTAAGACGTGAACTGTTTTATTATGAAATATTTCATTAAAATATATTTTTTCAACAATTCGAAGAAAAGGTCCAGTCGATCTTTACCAAAAACTGGTAAGTTTATAAATTTAAAAAAATTGGTTCAGGATTTTTGGCTAAAATGTAAACAGCTTTTTTTTGATATATACGAGGTGTGTTCAAAAAGTACCCGGAATTACTAATAATTAAATTTCGCGGGTCTGGTGTGTCTGATTGTCAAATTTTTTTTTATTGTGTTGGTATACATGCCCCTAAAGTATGATGAAATTTTCAGCTATATTCACTGTTTACTTTGTCTGTGGTAGTCGCTAAAGGTTCGACGTGTTTTTCTGAGCTCGGCGATTTTTACAATGGAAGAATTGAAAAGTCAAAGAATTTGTATTAAATTTTGCGTAAAAAATGAAATAAAGTGTTGCAAAGTGCAAAAATTCACCAGATATGGCTCCGTGTGACTTTTTCCTATTCCCAAAGTTGAAGAGACCCATGAAAGGACGGCGGTTTTCCTCGATTGAAGAAAATCGCTGAGAGTGCTCAAGGACATATCAAAAAGTGAATATAAAGGGTGCTTCGAAAATTGGAAAAAACGCTGGCATAAGTGTATTATATCTGGGGGGGACTACTTTGAAGGGGACCACATTAATGTAGACGAATAAATAAATATTTTTTTGAAAAAACGAAAATTACGAAAACTTTTTGAACAGCCCATGTACACCTACTTTTTCTAAATTTGGTCTCAAATGACCAAGGATGACTTGAAAAAACAGAAAGTTACCAAGTTTCTGAAGAAAATTAAAGAGTTTGTATCTTTTTGCTTTATCATATCCACATATATGTTTATTTGCACTATAATGATTTGGGTCATATGAGTGATGTATGTCTCTTGTTGACTTGGAAACAGTATTTTGTTATGATTTATCTTGTAATTTACAAATTGCGTATTCGAATTCAAGAATTTGCTTCGATTTATCGGTTATCAACCTGCCGAGATGTGGCGTGACATGCGGATAAGATAGAGAAATTTAAAAGCACCTACGAAATATAATTAATTGCACTTGAGATAATATTTATATGGAATGACATGGCGTTAATAATATTTATTAATTTTTGATATCCACGACTGGAACATCTGTGGGTAAATTAAATGCCAATGCATGATTGGATTGTCCAGGTATGATATGGCATTATTATTTTTTTCCCTTACCTTTAACTTTATCATAAACGCCCTGGGATTGGGCCCAGGCCGCTTCTACCATTGGCAGTTTCATCATGCGTTCCAAAGACTCCAAATGGGGCAGTAAAGAAGGGTTGCTTTTGGCTCCATCGACTTTTTTCTGCGCCAAGGCGCATTGGTTGGTGTCTGGTACTTTATCAGCCATTTTTCTGAATAGGAAACAAATAATTAAAATTGAAATAATTTCCCACATTCTGAGAGCAATAGAACAATAAATTTTACTAACAAGAAGAGCGATTGTAAAGTTTATCTTTGGTGAGTCTAAATATTTGTACAAAATTGAAAAATCTAAAACATTACAAGCCTTGCAGCAATTCGTAACAGATAAATCACTCATATTAACTTCCCGTAGGGTAAGTTATTGTAATGGGCCGAAAATCGGAATTGAAAATTTTTACATTTCTCGACGTTTTGAAGGTTTATGAACATTTTGGCATACTTCAGAAAAAATGGATGTGTGTGTGTGTGTGTGTGTATGTATGTATGGATACAATTTTTCCCCCACGTTTTCGGGCGTACGGATCAACCGATTTGAACGGTTCAAAAAACATTCGGTTCCTATTGATAAGGAGATGTGCTGATTAGTTTTTGGCAAATGCAGGTCCAGCAGTTACGGAGATAAAGAGCAAAGAGTGCAGAAAATAGAAATCGAGTTTTTGAGAGAACGGAGCATCCGATTTGAATGATCTAAAAAACATTCAATTAGTAATGATTGGGAGAAGTGGTTATTCGCAAAGGCAGGCCCAGCCATTTCGAAGATACGGAGCTAAATGTACAAAAAATGGCAGTTTTTGAGAGAACTAAGCGTCCGATTCAATTGATTCAAAGAACCTTCTGCTTGTCTTAACAAAATAATTGATTTTGGAAAAAAAATTTTGTTTCAACTTTTTTTTTTTTTTTTTTAATTTTTTGTATATCGAAAATTATTCAGATTTTATTTTTAATTCTGACTATAGTTCTAATATACTTTAAACAAATAATTTCAACTCTGCAATTCAGTTTATATAATTCTTATAAATATTAGACAATGTTACAATATTTATAATAATCTATTTGAAAACATTCAGTATTCCTCGAACATTTCGTTACGGTACGGGAAGCGGGAAGTTCCAGCAATTTGCCTTAAGGCACGATGCCACCCACCCCACTAGTATTCATTAAAATTTATCACAATTTCATTAAAAATGTTTATAATTTCAATTATGTAACAATACTTGTCGCCGAATATGGTTTCTAATTATAAAAATATCTGCATATTTTTTTCAAGTGAATATTTATTCTAGTAATTTATAATTTTCACAAAATGATGTAATTTCAATTACAGACTTTTCTATATTAATTAATAATAAAATATTGTGGTCAGTTGTGCAATATTGTATATGAAATAACGAGTCTATTGGAAAACACGACGGATTCATGTGTGTACACATGTTTAATAATTTGTTCAAGGCTGAATAAATTGTTAGGAGAAGATGAGATGAGCTGATGAATACTGTGTACACATTGTGAACAAAACTGATGTATGTATATTTATTAATGTATACTTTAGATTTTTTGTTCGACGTTGAACCTATTCCTAAAATGTTATTTTGCAGCCCTATAGTCAAAATGGAAAACAATCATTTTGTTACAATAACAATTTATTGTGTGCGTTTTGACACCGTATGTGTGTCGTCATTCAGCAAGTTAACAAGTTTTATATAAAACTAGTGGTGCGTGGCATCGTGGTTTAAAGCAAATTGCTGGAATTTTCTGTACTGTAATTTAAAAATTTTCAAAGCTCAGAAATTTTAATAGCTCATTTTTTTCGAACATGTTTGAAACGAGAAATTTGAATATTGAAAAAAATGAAAAATGTGTTTTTTGCAAATCATGATTTTTTTAAACACTGATATTTAAAAAATAATAATAATAATAAAAGGTATGCCAAAATGTTCAGAAACCTTCGAAACGTAAAGAAATGCAAAATATTTCATTTTCAATTTTTGGATAATTACAATAGCTTATTCTACCAGAAGTTAATTATAGAATGTTATAAAAACGTACATAATTATTTTATTTGTCAACTTGCTAGAAATATTGCTACTATTTTTTTTAAATAGCAAATTTCGATATCAAAATAAATTGCAATATTCACTTTTTAAGAAATGTACTAAAATTTATTTGTAACACTAATAAGAAATATATTCAGATAATTATTTGCAAAATAATAATCTCATTTCAAGAATTATTTGGATTTAAAACATTACAAGAATTTTGTTCCAAAATTTGTATAATATTCAATATATCAATAATGTTTATAGAATTCTATAAACTCAAATCAAATTTAAACAAATATTTTATTTGTTATTTAATTTTATTATTAACAATTAGAAAATTAACTACATTAATGTAATTAATTTTCTAATTGTTAATAATAAAATTAAATAACAAATAAAATATTTGTTTAAATTTTAAAAAGTTAAAATTTTTAACTAGTTGTTTGACTGCAACCAGATAATTCGTACAATTTAAAAACAACTTTGGAAAAATATTTGTACTTGAAAACAAAGTCAAAGCGTGAATTATTAAATTAAACTATTCTAAGTGGAATGCGCACAAAAGTTGTTAAAGTAAACATATATATTATATATGCAGTTTTTTGTTATGATTATTCAGGAACTAGTTTTTGTTTTGGTCAATAATTTTACTTTTTTTATTCTTGGGCCCCTTTCCTAAATTCAGAATAAGAAGAAGTCTATTTAAAAAAATGTTTAATGTCATAAAATAGTTCTACCAATTCGAATTTAAATTTAATATTAAAATAAATAGTTATTGTTAAATACGACGCTGCAAAAACTTTTCAAAAACAATACTAACACTGCAGCAAGCAAATGACCTTTTTTATGCATTATTAAGATTTTTTTAAAAATTTAGCCGAAATTGTATTTTCAATAACAGTTTTCTTTTGCTTTACTACAATTACAGCTGAATGCATTAAAATGTGACTCATAATAAAAATTTATTAGAAAATTGGTTCCAAAGGTTAATGCGTGTACGATATAGTAATAATTTATGGAAAATTATTCGAAATATTCTTACAACGAAATATTTATCACCTTACAAATGATCAAAGTTCAACAACACAACACAACTGTACTGTAATTAGTTACATTTTTTTTTTTAATAAAAAACTGCAATTATAAAAAATTCTAAAGAAATCCTTGAAATAACTTGTTTATTTGATCAGCTGTCTTCGAAAATATCGTATTACTCACATAAAAAGTTTAAATAAAAATCTAAACATTTTTATGCTGTTGTTGATAGAATTTCAAAATTCTGAGTTTTCAAGTCAAAATTATTTTTTTTACATAACTATTCCAAACTATTTGATACTTTTGATAATAAATAAAATCTGTTTTTTACTCAATACATTATTTTTTCCGGCAAGCTTGACGATTTAGTGATGATTTCGTAACGACTTGCTTTTATGGAATAGCAACCCAATGGTCGACCCATTTCTTTATGCTTAAAATATGTATAACACTGATGGCTTATTATTCAACGCATGATGACAATTTTTTTCATATTTTTCAAAGAAAATTAATCATTGTTCTCGTAGTGTACAATTGAACTTTGGTCGTTTGTAGTGCGATAATAACTATTTCGATAAAACTTTGTGTCTGGCGATAACACTTCAGATACAGACGATTGTACTTCGACTTTTGATTAAAAAAAATTAAATAATTCTTATCTCAATTCATAATAATAAACCATACATACAAGAACAATCTTTCCCAAAAACTAATTGAAACAATTTTCAACTTACGTCTAGGACGATTTTCACAAAAAAACTAATCAGGACGATCGACGATTATCGAGTTTTATCATTTTTGAGGAAACTAGGTACCATACAAACCAAAGTCAAAGCTGTAAATTTTTCAACAGAGTTTTTGAAATCTCATTCGATTTGCCAGAACATAATTCAAAAATGAATGTTCTGATTTTGCTTCATAATTCAAAGTTATTAAAAACCTTAAATATCTAAATGCGCCAATTCAATTTGGATGAAATCAGTTTCTGATTAAGTTGGCATTTGCAATGATTATTAATGTTTAAGAAATATTTATATGGTATGCGTTGCAGTGGGTAAACTATCCACTTAATATGTGTTAGATGCTTATTTTACTTATTTATTATTAATTATTAATTTTGATGTTGAGATATATGAGTCAAAGTCAATGGAGCGTTTAGGGTCTGAATTTTTTTACTGTGCTCTGATTTGCATAAATTCGTTTCATTTTTTTCATGCAAATTGGAGCACAGTAAAAAAATTCAGAGGTTATACCCTTTTTTCCTCTCGTTTACTGCACTATAAGGGCGGTACATCAAACAAAGAAAAGAAAGATTTATAAAATAATCTTTAATTCCAAACGTTTCGACATACAATTTGATGTAATCATCAGTGGATATTGAACTTGGTATTTTGCATCCAAAAATGTGAACACATCACAAATTTTGCACTAACATTGATACAACTATCCAGTCAATAATCATGATTTTTTTGTAAGAAGAAAGAATAATGAGTTTTGTTTTACAAAAATGTAGAAAAATAAAGCATTCTGGCACAGAGACATGTAATATTCTGTATAAGTAAATTGAAATTTTTGGCAAATGACAGTTTTCATTTGTGTTCAATACCAAACAATGTCTCACATGTCAATTATGTTCATTTATATCTACAATATTACTATATTTCCATAATCACATACATCCTAAAAATCCCTTAACAAACTTCAGAAAGATTTATCAGAATCCGAATAATCGTTTAGGAAAAGTATATTTACATACATCATTACCGAAGATTTATATATATAATAAATGTATTTTGAGTGGATAATAGATATTAATTTGGAAATATGAACAAACACTCTTTTGCACTAATTTATTAAATAATAATTTTCACAAACGTTTCGAGACTAGGTTTGTCTCTTCATCAGTGTGTTATAATTTAAAATTTAAAATATGGAAATCTAAATTAGCATTTTGTGTTACTGTGTATCGAGCGACTTGTAATGGATAACACAAAATGCTAATTTAGATTTCCATATTTTAAATTTTAAATTATAACACATTGATGATGAGACAAACCCAGTCTCGAAACGTTTATGAAAATTATTATTTAATAAATTAGTGCAAAATGAGTGTTGTTTGTTCATATTTCCAAATTAATATATATATATATATATATATATATATATATATATATAATAACTTAATATTTTTATGCTATTTGATTCCATTGGAAAGATAATTTTTAACTGACGATAGAATTGTTTACAAAGAACATTCACCTGGGTCAAGAGGTCATCGTATCTTTAGCATTCACCAAAACAGTTTTGATAAAAATATTATGAAATCTCATATTACATCATGTAATACTGTACGTTCATAATTGCAAGTTGTTAATTAAAGTGCTTCATAAATGTATATTCAGTGTAATCAAGCGAATATAAAACTTCCATTGGAACGAAATAATTATAAATAAAGATTAAATTAAAATAATAAAACTCTTAATATTTTATATATAAAATTTTTAGGGGTATAAACTAATATTATGATTTTATTTTTCAAAAAAATAATTAGTTTGTCATTTATTAACTATCTCCACGTTTTGAGAATATAGACTGATCCTTTCTTCAGAAACTGTTAGAAACAAACTAACTTTTTTTTATTATAAATTAACTTTATTTATTATAAATTACAAGCAGTCTTATGAAGACATTGAGTAATTGAGGTGATAAAGTACAATCAATGATTTATTTTTATACATTTATGCACTTTTTTAAAATTATTTAAAAATGTAAAATTCTTTTTCTTTCTTACAGATTATGCGAATTGAAAAAGAACTTACATACCCACTCACATATATAATTATTGAAAACTATAATTGATTCTAATTATGAATTATGTCTAGAATAATTTTATTTTTAGATTTATTTTACGCCCGTGTGTAAATGTTAAACTTATTTGATAAATTTATGGTATATTTAAAAAAAAATCCGATTTGCTAATTTTGTGTGATTTCTTGATGTTTCAAGTCATTATGAATCGTTTGACCCCAATTTTGGAAAAAATATATGTATGTCTATAAAATTTAAAATTGCATTAAAATGTGAAAAATTAAATGCTATTTGGTGAAACGCGATGAAAGCAGAGCCATTTTTTTAGATTCAGTAGAAATGTGCAAAAAAATTCATCAACGTTTTCTCAAAAAATACACTATTTTTATTTTTAACTTCTTGAAGGAGAGGTAAGAAGAGACGTTTCAAGTCATTCTGAATCGAATGAGACCAATATAGGAAAAAGTTTGTGTGTGTTTGGAAAATAACTAAATTTAATTTTTGTAGATTAAGTCGGTTATTTTCACGTATCCGGAAGTTCATGCAACTTGCCGTAAGGCAAAGTGCCACTTACACTAATTAATCAATTTTAAATAAATACTATAGTAATATTTAAGATACAAAAATATTTTATCAGTACTAACTAATCATAATTTTTATTAAATTTGTGCTTATGTAATTAATAATATTAATACTAAATTACACTTATACTCACATTTTATCCAAACTTGAAACACGAAAACACTGATTAGAACTGGGAAACACACAGTACGTAAGAGATGCTATTATAATTTGATAATAAATCTGCGTTTGTATTTGCAATCAATATATTTTGGTGAATAATATTTGTCGAATTTTAATATTTATTTATAACTTGGATCTAAGTAACCAACAATGTATATAATGTTCACTTTCTATTTCTGAATGCGTAATGTCAGCCGCATGCGGTGCAATCAACATTTATATGTCTAACTATACAGAAGTTGGTTTTAAACTTTGAGCCTGACGGCGAGATAACGACTCTCAACATGTGGATCGCATGTTGATAAATTTACAGTAGTGAATTTGTGTTAAATTAGATATTGAACTAGTTGGTATTGGTATTTTGCCTTGAGGCAAGTTACATGAGATCAATAAGAAATAGATTAATTTATGAGTGGTTAAAAGTATTTCGAGGGGATTTATTACACATAATTGAAAATGAACGATCACGTTAACTCGAAGTATTTTCTAAAAGCAAATTTTCAAAAATCAACAATTTTTGTAGTTGAACCAGTTTCCGTAGGACTTGAATGGTTTAGTATGTTCTTCAAGATCAAATACTCTGTTGTTATACCAAGTAAATTGTCAAATTTTAATTTTAACAAACGTCAAAAAAACTATTCATTTTCTCAAACTTTGATGAATTTCTAAAGTTAAACCACTTGTCGTAAGGCCGTAATATTTCAGTAAGTTCTATAAGACCATGATATACATTGCCAAAGAAAATTTCATAAAAATCGGCTTAAATTTTTTTTTCAACAGTTAATTACAAGAAAACGGCTCGGTAGATTTTCACCTAAAACTAATCAGTATCATTCCCAACTAATATCTTTCGAACAATTTTTGATTTTTTTAAATCGATTCGGTAGTATGAGCTTAAATGTGAACGAAAAGTTTAACACTTTTTGCCAATTTACAAAGAAACGGTTTGGCAGATCACCGCACAAAACTGACAAACGATAGTCCTCATTGAGATACATCAAATGGCTTTTAAATTTCTGAAATCGGTTCAGGGGTTTTTGAGAAAACGTCGATGAAAGGTCTAATTTTGACAAATGCCAAAAAAAAAACGATATCAATTTTTGCAAACTTTAAAGAATTTTTAAAATTAAAGGACTTGTCGTAGGGCCGTAATATTTTAGTATGATCTAGACAAAAAAATCATAAAAATCGTCGAAAAAAATTTTTTTAACACTTTATTACAAGAAAACGGCCCGGCCGATCTTTACCAAAAACTAATCAGCACGGTTAGCAACCAATATCTTTTGAACAGTTTTTGAATTTTCAGAATCGGTTGAGAATTGCGGGCTAAAACGTAGACGAAATTTTTTTCACTTTTCTGCGATTTACAAAGAAACGACTTGGCTGATCGTCGCGCAAATTTGATAATCTCTAGTCCTCAGCGAGATACTTCGAATGGCTTTTAAATTTTTGAAATCGGTCCAGCCGTCGGCAAAAAATCTGTTCACATACACATATGCACACACACACATACATACTTTTTCCAAATTTGGTCTCATTCGATTCAGAATGGCTTGAAACGTCGAGAAAACATAAAATTAGCGAATCGGATTTTTTCATGAAAACATTAACTTCTCCTTCGGGAAGTTAATTATATATTATAACTAGTGCCCTAAGTCAAATTGCTGAAACTTCCCGTACCGAAAATTAATTTTTTTAAAAAACTTTTAAAAGTTTTTGAAGATTTTGAACAAAATGAGATTTTTAAATTTTTGAAAAAAATGACTTATTTGAAAAATTTGAATATTTTTATATTTCGATTTTTTTATACTTTGAATTTTTCTGTAAATATTTTCAAAGCAATGGTGGTCTTTGCCAAAAACTAATCAGCACGTCTTCTTATCAATAGGAATCGAATGTTTTTTGAATCATTGAAATCGGTTCAACGGTGTTTCCGAAATCATTGACGAGAATTTGTATCCGTACATACACACATACATCAATTTTCGATTTTTTGCGATTACTATAACTTACCCTACGGGAAGTTAATAATATATCATTTTTATCTGCCTTTCATAATTCGTCAATCATGTATTATAGAATTTTTATTTTATAAAAGACATTTCAATAAATTTTGAACTGCCGATATATAGTACAAACTTTCTCAAACTCCATAGCATCAAATTCTGTTTTAATTTTATACTCTATATATCTTTAAGCAAACTCCTAAATTAATGGTGAATTTTAGAGATTTTGAAAAATTCCAAAGATTTTTTGGAGAATTACAAAAATTTATTGTAAACTCCAAGGTTTTTAGTGAGTTTTAAAGATTTATAGTGAGTTCCCAAAATTGTTTGCTGAATTTTAAAGATTTTTACTGAATTTATGTTACTCAAATATGTATTTTTAATATTTTATTTTAAAGTATCTTCCCTGTTTTTTGATGAACTTTTTGGTAAATTTTCACAAATTGTTTTGTGAATTCTAAAGATTTTGGACAAATTCCAAAAATTTGTGAAGAATTTTATAGATTTATGACACATTTAGTTTAATTTTTAAATAAACTTTATGTAAAATTAAATATTTGTAATAAATTTTACGGATTATTAATAAATTTCATATAACATCATGGATTTTCATAAAATCATAAATTGTAGATTTTTCAGGCTTTTTAATTTTTTTTTTTGTTAATTGTATTTGCCCAAATTTACCTCTGGCGATTGATTCGTCATCACCCAGGCACATATTGTTACCTGCTTCGCAACCGATTTATCTAATCGCAAAATATTATTTAACTACATTATGTGAAAATATCTTGTTTTATCCGAAATGTATTTGAACTTTGTTATTCAATTGATTGATGGATAGATAGATGGATTTAACCCAGACGACAAACTCCAAAAGGCAACTTTCATTTAGGTAGTAAGTTATAATAGTCGATATTTTATGAACTTAATAATTTGATTTTTATTGTTAAGTCTGTTAATTCGTCATTTTTTTAAAAATCTTTATTTCCAACTAGAAAAATGATCAATAAAATTTTAACAAAATGCCTAATTTTCGCCAGAAATATTTGAAAAAAATAGTATAAACAGTTTTTTATTTTTAGTTGAACTTTAACTGCATTTTTTTCCCCAAATTTTTTTTCAAAAAAATTTTTTTTCGCTAAACTTTTTTCCCAGAATTTTTTTCCCAATTTTTTTTACCAAGAAAATGTTTTTCCCAATTATTTTGCTCAACAGATTTGAATAATTCAAAAAAACATTCGATTCCTATTGACGGGGAGACGTGCTGATTAGTTTTTAGCAAAGGCAGGTCCAGCCGTTTCGGCAGCAAAAAGTGCAGAAAATGGCCAGAACCGGACATGTGATTAGAATGATTCAAAAAATATTTGGACAGCGATCAGGATATAAGTTCTATGAACTCTTTTGGTGATATTTTCTCAATGCGTTTTAAAAAACACTCCAATTGTTGGCCTATGTATTAATGTATTTATTAGAATTTATCTATTTTAGTGATAAAGTTAAATGTAATTATATATACAGAATAAAATTAAAATTAACTAGTGGGGTGGGTGGCATCGTGCCTTAAGGCAAATTGCTGGAACTTCCCGTACCGTAACGAAATGTTCAAGGAATACTGAATGTTTTCAAATAGATTATTATAAATATTGTAACCTTGTCTAATATTTATGAGAATTATATAAACTGAATTGCAAAGTTGAAATTATTTGTTAAAAGTATATTAGAACAATAGTCAGAATTAAAAATAAAATCTGAATTATTTTCGATTTACAAATAATTAAAAAAAAAACAAAAAAAATTGAAACAAAAATTTTTTTTTCCAAAATCAATTATTTTGTTAAGACAAGTAGAAAGTTCTTTGAATCATTCAAATGGGACGCTTAGTTCTCTCAAAAACTGCCATTTTTTTACATATTTAGCTCCGTATCTTCGAAATGGCTGGGCCTGCCTTTGCCAAAAACTAATAAACACTTCTCCCAATCATTACTAATTGAATGTTTTTAGAGCATTCAAATCGGATACTCCGTTCTCTCAAAAAGTCGATTTGTATTTTCTGCACTCTTTGCTCCGTATCCTCGAAACGGTTGGACCTGCCTTTGCCAAAAACTAATCAGCTTTTTCCCTATCGATAGGAATCGATTGCTTTTTGAACCATTCAAATCGGTTGATCCGTTCGCCCGGAAACGTGACTGGAAATTTGTATCCATACATACATACACACACACACACACACACATCCATTTTTTCTGAGGTATGCCAAAATGTTCAGAAACCTTCAAAATGTCGAGAAATGTAAAAATTTTCAATTCCGATTTTCGGCCCATTAAAATAACTTACCCTACGGGAAGTTAAAAAATGTGTTTCAACTTGTGGTTTCCCCACATCATTGTGCTTAATCCCTAGGGACTTCGAATCGGTGGTGAAAAGTATGGATTTCTAATAGGTGGTTGTTGAAAATTTGACAAAGTTGCATTTCCAAACAAAATTTCGAATAATTTTCTTAGAATGTTGTGTTTTTCATTAGCTAGTTCTAAACAAGTAAATAAATATATAATAAATATTCATAATAATTCGAATGACTAATGGTAGACACTGCATGGAATCATTTAATCTGAAGCAAAGCGGTTCGTCATTTCGTCATCAACATTTCGGACTTTGGACGATCGGCGTGTGTTGTCTCTTGTCTGTCGTAGTCGGTACTCATTGGATAATATGTTATATCAACGATTCTCAATGTCGTAAATTATGATACGACAACATATTATTGATTCTCTTCTTGATATGTGAAAACAAACACTTTTTAAGATTTATGGATTTTATTTTAAATTGAAACTTACATTATTGGGTGTTGATATTTTTAATCTGTACTTTTTTACCTGTTTCGACCCTTATTGTCAGATAAGGGTCGATTTATAAAAGTTTTATATAAATGGTACCAACATACAAGATTAAATTACAAACATATTTTAATGAAAATGTGATAACATAAAATATTAATATAAATACATAATAGTTCTTAACAATGTATACTTAGAAAAAATTATAATCGAAATTATAACTAGATGTAAATGGCAATTTGCCTTGTAAATAATCGACTTAATTGATAAGAAGTCAATATATTAATTTATAAGTGATTTATTTGTATACCGAGTTGCTGCAGAGCATCATAAATGTGAGAAACTTTTGCAGATTATTGAACAAAATT